CAAGACAAAGCTCAACCTCAACGGTTTCATCAACTGTCACAAAGATTGACTTGTTGCACAAAGCTATAAATAACAATATAGCATGGATTATCTTGAGACATACTCTCCAGTGGTAAAGATGACAAATGTTCAAATTTTGCTTGCTTTTGCCACTTACTTTGATCTTGAGATTTATCAAGATTGCTTTCCTGAATAAAGATTTGTAGGAAGATGTCTACATTTAATAGTTAGATGGCAATACCCAACTTAAGAAGCAACATCTCTTATGGAAACTCAAGAAATCTCTTTATAGCCTTAAACAAGCCTAGAGAGCATGGTGGCAGAAAATCAATACTTTTTTCAAAGTTGAAAGATTTTCTCTTGTTACTCCTAAATTTAATGTCCACATCAAATGAGAAGGGAAGTTTTTACTTATTGTTGCTCTCTATATTGATGACTCACTCTTGATTAGCAACAACTATGAGTATTTACAGATTTTCAAGACTAAGTTTGGAAAAACTTTTGCTATAAAGGACCTTGGAGAAGCTTGTTATTTTCTTAGTCTTGAGATTCACTGTGATGGGAAAATAAGGTCCCTTCACATCTCTCAGCAACAATATTTAACAAAGGTACTTGAGAGTTATGGATATATTGATTGCAATCCTTCTTATTTGCCCATGGAGTTTAATAACATCAAGTTCTTGACAAAAGTTGAGTGTCCTACTAGCAAAAAGGAGCATTAAACTATGGCAAAGGTATCATTTCAAAATTTGCTTGAGAGTTTGATGTATGTTATGGTGTGCAATTGTCCAAATTTGGCTTATGTTGTCATCGCTCTTAACCAATTTTCTGCTAATCTTGGTAAGAAACATTGCACATAGCCAAATCTCTGATATGCTATATAAAGTAAACTTTTACTTTTAGATTGTTATATGGCTCACATGGTGGTTTTTCTCTTGTTGCTTACATGTTAAATGATAAAAATAGCCATAAATCCACAATAGGGTTTTGCTTCCAACTTGGAATAAGTTTTGTTCTTTGGCACAATAAGAAATAAGCTCACATTACTCTTTCCTCCACAAAAGCAAAATATTTTATTGCCTTAGTTGCTTCTAGGGAAATTCTTTGGTTTCAAGAATTTCTTAGAGCTCTTGGACAATCCTCCACACCAATTACTCTCTATGTTGACAACAAGGGAGCTATCAATTGGTGAAATGTAACACTAGAAGTTTCGACATGTTGCCAAGCACTATCACTATGTTAGGGATTTGGTACACACAAGTTTACTAACAATTTAGCATATTTCTTCTCAACAACAACTTACTGACATCTTTATAAAACCTTTGGCTAAGGTTCTATTTGTGAAACATAGGAATTCCATTAGAGTTGTGACCAAGCCTTAACTGAGGAGGAGGTAGTAATAGCAATCACACCTTTGGCTTTAGGAGTATTGGAGTTGAAATCCAAGGTGTGATAAATGCCTTGAAGCATGGAAATTAAGGGCCACATTCAATGGCAAATTTTAGGAAAAATGTATATAATTACATATGTGTATATGTATGTAAAATATTTCCAATTTCTTGTAAACTCTTGAATTTAGACTTCTTGGGAGGTCATTCAGCTTAGTACTATTCAAACGTAAGAATGCTTAACCCTAAGTATCCCAAGATACTTAATCGATTGGAAAAAGGGGTGCACTATTTTCTTTCTATATTTAAACCCCATGAATTGTTTCTCAAGTCGTTCCCTTTAGATGCTTATATTTCCTTCTGAAAAAATTCTATTTATTCTTTGTTCTCATTCTGGCTTTTTGTCACAGAACACAAGAGAAACGAATAGTGATGACCTATTGGCATGGCAACAGCCATTGCTCTTCTTCTATTAGCTCTCCTCTAAACCTTGCTCTTGCAAATATGCTTCTTGTATAGTCGCTTGATAGTATATTCTAGAATCAATTTTATTCTCCTTGTATGATCTACAGGTTTTGTGGTATATTCTAGCATCTCTTAAAAGATTCAAAGCAATCCCTTGATGATTCTTAAGTTTCTTTTTTAAATTTACTATTTTTGTACTATTAACGTTTTGTTTTTCTACTGATCAAGCTAAACTTGAAGTGTAATTAACATTTTGTCATGTAGAGAGCTTGGAGTGATGTTTTGATATATCCAATAACGCACTTCTATGTGATTCATAAAGATCAGACTCCTGCAACACTATTAGATTGGAGACATACCCACAACTCCGTCTGAAAGAACTGGTGTTTTGCACTCTAGCTTGTGACCTGAGTAGAATGGCAATCTGATTGTGATACAAAGTAAGCAAGTAAGCACAGCAGGGCTGCACTTTGGTCAGCTAGAGCTGATCTCCTAGTAGAAGCATGCCATATTTGCAAGTCTACCAAACCCATGATCTGGCAATTTTCATGCCTGCAGAATTCACTAGGCATCTAAGTTGACATGCATTTGCACTGTGTCTGGAGCCAACAATAGATTGTCATCAGCATATAGTAGTACATAGAGAAAAATGCTTACTCTGCAGCATAGTTCCATATAGATCTCAAACAATGTCAGCCAGAGGGGCCTGAGGGGCCTGAGGCACCCTTATGGAACCCCCGAACAAGACTCAATTAGCTGGCTATCCACTATTTGCAAACTCAAAGTCTTGTATAATTTGATGATTGCAGCTACTGGAGAGGTAGATGGGGATTTGGAGTTCCAGCAGATACCAAATCAAAAGATGCCATAGGACAATTGAAAGCTTTGGTTAAATCAATAAAACCCAGAAGAAGCACTTTGTGTGCCTAAAATGTAGCCGTTTGAACAAGACGTAGAGGGTTAGCAGTTGGTTGATGCAGGAGTAATGCCTGTGAAGGCCTGCTTGACCTTCTGCATGCAGCCACGTTGTTTCTCTATAAGGCGGGCAAACACCTTTACAAAAGCTACCAACATTGCTAACTCACTTGTGGAGATTCTATTATAAGTAAAATTTCCTTCATTGAAGTTGGATCATTCTTTTATACTAGTACTTTTCTTTTGGACAATGACATCTTTTTCTTTAAAAGACTTTGTATTTTATTTTAAAAGTTTTTTACTGTACTTGTAGCAGCATAAAGTTTACCTGGGCTGGACTTAAAAACATGATACAGCACCACATTTCTATCTCTTTGTATAGTCAGAAATGCATAGCATGGCTCATCACAAGACTTATCTAGTGACCATATAACAACCTGGCTTAAGGTTTCTTTGATAACCATGTTCCCATTAAGTTGGACTATGAGATAGCAATCTACTCCTCCTCTCCCACACACTCCATTAATCCAAACTTGCCCTCAGCTGGCTTCATTCACAGACAAGCTACAATCATCCTGGAGCTTGAGTGTGTAGATCAAATTCGGGGACTGGAGCTCAAAGTTTCGACGAAGACCATTGTAGAAGAATCACCTTGGTTGCTGCCAAGTAAAATCTCAGTCTGGTTGTGAAGGGTTTCCATCTTTTGATCTGCTGGTGCTATGCAATACTGGACTCCAAACATCTCGGAGACTGCAAGCATGCTGCCAGCTAGAAAAACTTGCATTTGTATATATTACTACTTTGATAACAAGGCCTCTCACGCTGATGGTGTTACCTGGATTGACATGGCAGAAATCCAGATTGGGGCCTGTATGAAAAGATACGATGGCAATGTAGATCACTACGTTGTTTGTCACAGTGACTTGATTGATGTAAACTACCCCACTCTCATAGTATGTATTGTCATTGAAAATTTCCGCAAGTGCAATCACCATATCTAGAATAATATTGGCATTGGCTGTTGTTATAGCATTGCGCTCGTCAGAGAATTCCCAATGCATGGCTTGAACAACACTAATATGAAAAAGGAGTGCTGTTAAACATTCAATGAGAAGATACATTTAGAATGAGTTTTGCTAGAAACAATCAAAAAGAAAACTATTTCTTGTTATAATGATAAATTAATAATTTATATTGCAACCTTCAACCAATTATATGCACTCACAATATTAAATAATGCTTGTTTTGCTTAATTCTTGATTAGTATTATTATTAATCCAATTAATCAATAATTATAATTATTTATAAACACAAGATTATAAAAAATAGTGTATTAGGGTTTAAGTTTAAAACTTATATTCATCAGCAAGAATATGGAAATGGAATACAGAAATGTGTATATTAATTAACTTAAAAACCTTAATTTATATATAAGAGTGAGTGGTCTGGATTGAAATTAATCTGCATCAAAATTCCACTACGTTAATATTAATATATAGCATTATAACCATACATTTGGACCTCATAGTATTTATTATATCCCAAGTGATGAAAACATCCTTCTTTTAAATTTAACATTGACAATGCATCTTTAATACTTCTTATTAGTTTCTTTTGTTCACAAACCACTGAAAGGAAGGAATGGGGATGGCCACCAAATGCATAAGGTTATTTAAGGCACTTTATTTTAAATTTGTTTTCTTTCATAAATATACTTGGCCAGGATACCGAGCTAATAGAAAAATTAACTACAAGGAGAGTAGACTTTGAAATCTTCCTGAAAGTCCATTTGCATTAAAATAGACCTTTTGAAACGAGCCTCACAAGACTCCGTCCAGCATCAAGTACGTCTAAGTACGTATAAGTAGGGAAAAATTCTGATCAAAAGAGAAAAAAACAGGTTTTCAATCTGACATTTCGAGAAAAGGAAACACAAATATTCTGAGAAACACCTGATATCTGAATCCGAAACTACTCCGAGGTTGAGCCTCGCTGGAATCCAAAACAATTCGAGATCGTTTGTAGCTTCAAGGGTGTCGTCGGGTAACGCTCCACAGTCGAGGCTCAAGAACCCTGTCGAGTTGAGATGAGAGCTTATTTTATCTTCGATCTACACGCAATAGCTGGTGTAGCGAGGAGGCCGAGCGTGAAAACGAGGAGACGATCCACCAGCCACATTTTCTGCTCAGGAGAGACTGCTCATGATCTTCTTGATCCAGCCGACAACAGGAATCGTATAAAAAATTCAGTAGGATTTACCACGACCCGAAGGAGACAGGACATAGAGTGGACTTTGAAGTGTCAAAAGGAACCCGGTAAGCTTTGAAAACGAATGTTCACAGAAATCTCCTCGCTGCTCCCATGGCCTGCGGGTACACGACGGCCACGAAAGTACGCTTCGTTCCATCATCTCGTCGACGACCTGGCGAAAGCACCTGTTTAGAGAATAAGGATAACATAACACAAGAAGAAATTTTACTCTTTGATCGAGCTTTCATCTGCTGCGATACTCCCATGCCACTGGATACTCCAGACTCTTCAAGTACCTGTCTACAAAGACTGTGAGTAGGAATCCAAGTCCTCCATTGTGCCACTCTCTGATGGCAAAGCAGAAATAATACTTGCCTGCGCGTAGCTTTATCGTCCTTGCAGTTGCGCAAAAGGTGGCATTTGAGTCCCAAGTGCCTTCGCGTCAGTAACAATGACAATTGGCTCCAAGTCGGGATGAAGATGTTTTCTTGCGCCTTCCAGGATGTCATTGCTCGTTACTTCTTCAACCTTCTTTTTGTAAGTGAGAGGAAGGTTTTGATCGATTCCAAATAGATCGTATACGAGGACACGTGCTAGCTGGGATTCTCTGCAGAAGACGAATGTTGATAACTTTGGTAGATATAATCGCAAGTTTACCTGCTTGAATAGTTAAAAACAAAAGAATTTAGAGCGGCTTCTTTGGCTTGGGACAGCTTCTCTGCAATGCAGGGAAGGGTTTCAATAGTGCATGCACGACAAATCTAACCTTCAGGAACAGGTGCTTCGACAATTGACACCAACACTGCCTTGACGGCTTTTAGAAGCTTGGGAAATAGATTGAACTTGAGTTTCTCCTCCGGCGACGAAGACCCCCTTATAACATTGAGCGAGACATTTTAAAACGTTGTTTTAAATCTATATTCAGAAAAGCTGGGGCATGGTGTTGACTGGTAAAAGCCTGCTAGTGTTTTCTGGCGTCCGCCATGTTGAAAACTCCGTTTCAATCAGCGACTTCATCATCGAAGAGTCAAAATCACCCCAAATTCCTAACACAGCTGCGTCAGGCCAGTAAGTTAAACGGAAGCACAAAGAAAAACTGGAATGGCTCACCGGAAAACCTGTCTGTGAAATGCAACCAGGTCGTTACGAAAAATGGATCTCACCGTGTTTTGCTCGGGCAATCGAGCATAAATACTTTTATCCCCATACAGCAGCTTTTGCAACTTGATTGTAGCTGAAGTTTCAGCCTGATGAAGGAAAAAAATATTTTAAAAAGATCGCCTGCAGATTCTACTCGCCTACGTCATCTTTTCTTCGAGAGATATAGCCCAGAAGCTGTCCTCCAACAAGTTCTAGCTTCTCTCTAGGCATGGTTGGCCTCTGGACGACTGCAGAACAGGAAATCAAAGTTTTCTACGGCCATACCATCTGAAAATATAGAAAACACAGTTTTGAGGTCGTCCTCAAGGCAACGAAAGCCGACACCCATACTCCCACCACTGGACGATGCTTCTATTCGAGCTGCCATGGACTGCAAAATAGAAAAGTAAATAAGAAATAGCTTGTACATTGACAACTTTACCTCCAGTTCTAAATCTAATGAATCGCTTGGATGTAACGCAGTCCCTCCACTTCTTTGCACAGCAGACGTGAGATTTTATATCAGAAACAGAGCAATCACCTTTCCTTCCGGTTCTAAGTTTCCTCCGCCTTTTACAATCAGGTTTCCGCCTACCTGGAAACAGAAAAATAAAAAGGATCAGTTCCTTGAGCGCAAAAGCAAGAGCCAAACTTACAAGTCCCAGCTCATGATCCTCGAGCAAAAAAACTCGGAGACCGTTGTCTATAATACAATCTAATAAAACAACAAGTAGCTTGTTTACGAATCGTTTTTCGCACCATTTCGTATGGTGGAAAAGAAAAAGTCTGGCAGCGGGGGAAACTCCTCTGGAATGGGGAGTATTTCCTGCTCCATGCTCGTTGTCACTGCAAAGCTGATGATCATGCCAACGTTTTATGAAAAAAAATCGTTCCGTTTTTTTTTATAAAAATCTCACCTTGGAAGCGCTGGATTCACAGCATAGAGAAGCCGCTAATGCAGCTCCAATAATCCTCCCGGGAATACTCCTGGCGCTGCCGCATTGCAATCTCTCAGCCTGGAAAGAACAAAAAGCCCGTGCGAAAGACTTTCTCGAGCGCGTACCTGAGGCCTGGCGGACGCAATCGCGCCCGAGCTCCAGGATCGCCATCGCCTACATTCGCGATTTGGCAGAGTCGATCCTTGATGGATAAACCCTAAAACACAAGATTCTCTTGTCTGAGACCGCATATTCTAAAGCTTAAATTAAAAAGTTTTGCTTGATAATTTAATACGATTTCAAGTACAGCAAGTTAATGGTCTGCACGTTCCAACATTCAATGGCGATTAAAATTTTACGCCGATGGCGAGCGAGAAACATGTGGGACGACCAGTTTATAGCCCGAGCAATCTGCGACCGGACAAGCCATCTCATCTCCTCGGTTGCAGCTATGGCGTCCTTCCCAAAGTTTATCCTCTTTTTCGTGGCTGCATCACTCTGTCTCGTAGGATCATCCTCGTATCCGAGGCACTGCACCGAAGTGATCAGCGTCTTCTTCCAGGATCTCTCCTTCTATCCGATCGTGCCCCCAAACAATCCCACCCCGTTCGGTCTCGGCGTGCTGGATGATATCCTCACCGCCAGGCCCTCGCGGAACTCCACGGTCGTGGGAAGCGCTCGGGGCACGCTTGTGTGGGACTCGCTGAATTCCAACGCGACCTCGTTTCTGCAGACCATGACCGTGGAGATCAAGGGCCGGCGGGGGATCATCAGCCTCTTGGGCCAGAACCATTTCCCGGAGAAGGTGAGAGAGATCGCCATCGTCGGCGGGACTGGAGAGTTCAGCCTCGTCCAGGGAACGGCGAAGATATCAACGTTTGCCACTCAGCCCGGCGGATTGATCCTGCGGATGCAGCTGTTTATCACCAGGTTGTGGGAGTGCTACGGCATCGCCATGCGTCGTGACGATGCGTGACGACGATATCAGTCTATGGTGAGGTGTTCAATTTCTCATATAAATCATGCGATGTGGTTTTCTGGAACTGCTCGATTTCATTAATAAAGGAAAACATTGCTAGCATGTTCGGCTCCATGAAATGTGTGCCAACATTTGCTGCTCCTCGATCAAGATTTCTCCCAAGGTTGGAAAAAGTCGAATTGTTTTTACGTTTTGTTCTTCATCAGGTGGAAAGATCAGGTGCATTGATATCGTCTTCCTGGCTGCTATAGTTTCTAGTTTGCTAAAGCTTTTGCTCCATGCCAAGAGAGCAAGTGAGGAACATGTGGGCTGCCCAGTTTCATGGCCGGCCTCTTCGGGCCGCATGTTTCAATAAGTTTATCTTCACGGCGACTCCTCAAACATCGCAAAGTTCATCCTCTTCCCCGTGGTTGCATCACTCTTTCTCGCAGGATCACCCTCGCTCTCATATCCGAGGCGCTGCACCGAAGTGATCAGCTTCTTCTTCCAGGAATCTCACTTTCTACCTGGTTGTGCCTTCAGACAATCCCACTCCGTTCGGTCTCGGCGTGCTCGATGATTTCCTCACCGCCGAGCCTCCCGGTCTCTATGTTTTGTGAGATCCCATAAATCCGCTTAAAACAACAGACTGCACTCAACTCGATCCCAGTGCCCGGCCCCCATTTTCTCTTTTCTCGCGCGGATCATAGCCGAGCGCCGAAGAAGAACACAAAGCCATCGAAATGCTGGCATCGGATCTCCGAATCAGGCACTCAATAGTGAGGATCTGCTGCGGGTCTTCACGCAGAGGCGAACTGCTGCTGTTCCTGCTCGTGTGATGGCACCTCCTGCTGAGCGCTCTGTGATGCCTGCCAGGGATCCATTTGGACCTGCCCCCATGGAGCTTGATGCGGCGTCCCATACTCTTCTCCCTGAAGAACGACAATGTCATATCTCCCTTGGTGTATGCATATACTGCGGCGAACCTGGTCACCGTCTTCCTACTTGTCCCAAGCGTCCACAGGCCAGTGGAGATAGTTGCAGTGCATGAAGCTGTTCTTGACCCTGTACAACCTTCAAACGGTCTACAGCAAGGAGGCGAAAATCTGCAATATAGACCAAGGCCAATCAATTACCCTGCGAGAGTTGCCGAATCTTGATGGTTCGATCCGTGTCACCAAAACATGCCGAGATCTGCACCAAGTTGAATAGCGACAACGTGCATGTTCTCCAAGAGATCAATTTGGAAGGACCGGAGTTTACCATGTCTACCATTGAGGAGCTGCCTATTTGCGATTAAAGCACCAGATCACGCTGAGATGCTATGGGCGGTTGGACTGGCCTGGGTAGGTGGCAGATAAACTTGCTCCGTTGTTTAATCTGTAGGGCTGGGCTCCTCATATGTAGATTGGACGCTTGCACTTTTGCAAAGGTGTTTGCCAGCCTGGCTGAAAAAGAATGGGCCGTATGCACAAAGGTCAAGCAGGCTTTTGCAAGTATTATTCGCATCTTGTTCGAACTGCTACGTTTCATGCAAACTGAGTGCTACTCCTGGGTTATGTTGATTTAACCAAAACTTTCGACTGTGTCCCACGGCATCTTTTGGTTTGGCGTCTGCTGGAACTCCAAATCCCCACCTCCCTCGTAGAGTGGAATTATACAAGGCTTTGCATTTGCAAATAGCAGATAGCCAGTTGCTTGGGGGTTTGGCCCCCTCTCACCGAAGTTGTTTGCAATCTATATGGATGTGCTAGAGACTATGCTGCAGAGCAAGGCCCCTACGCTATACCAACTCTCAGACATGTATCTCTATGTACTATTTACTACATGCTATTGCCGGCCGGAACAGCGCAACTGTGAATTCAGGGCATGGAAGTAAACCATGCCAAAGCCCAAATCATGGGTTTTGTTAGACCTGCAGATATAGAATGCTTCTACCAGGGAGATCAGCTCACCATAGTGGACAGATATAAGTACCCTGGGTATGTAATACATAGGACCCATCCGTGGAAAGTAGGCATAGCTGACTGAATTGCAGCTCCTTGTTGCATTGCAATCAGATTGCCATTTTGCTCGGGTCACAAGCTGGAGTGCAAAACACCAGTACTTTCTAACCAAGTTACCACTATTATGCTGTGTTTGTGAGGTCACAACAATCCTGGGATGGCTAAATCTTCGTGGGATCAGGTGGAGGACTTGCAAAATCAATTCTTTTAGATGGAGTTGCGCATGGAGAATGTCTTTAATCCAATAGTATTGTTGGAGTTTGGTCTCTGGCCGTGGATATATCAAAATGCAGTGATGTCTGTACAACTCCATATGGGTGTGCTATCGGTGATTTGATTGGTTGATGTCAAGCTGGACATTGGGGCTCAGTCTAAACCTCGGCATACAAATGGCTGGATGATTAAGTACGTCATTGCTCTTCATGGTGGCTTGGTAGCATATATTTCTAGAACACAAGGAAAAGAAGGAAAGAGCAAAGTTATGGTAGGACCACAAGACATATTCACTCCGTGAGCAGAGAGGTGTCAAACAAAAACACACTTTTTTTGTTTGGTTTTTATTGGCATGGTCTATAAAAAGTCAATGATGATTCTTAAGTTTTATCCATTCCTTTTTTATTTAAATTTATTATTTTTATATTTCTGAACCTTGTTCCTCATTTTGTATTGATTAATAATTGGTTGACTATTATTAGTAATTTATCTTAATATGTTTAAATTATCATTCAATCTTTGTGAAGATGAAGTTCATTTCAGCACTTCTTTTCTTTTTTAGTGTTGTTCAAGCCATGCGCTGGGAATTCTCTGACCAGCACAATGCTATAACGCTAGCCGATGTCACTATGATTCTAGATGCAGTGATTGAAAATCTGAGCATTTTCGACGACAATACTTACTATGAGAGTGGGGCAGCTTATATTGATCAAATCACTGTGACAAATAACGTTGTGATCGACATCGTCATCTTGGCTTATCATACAGGCCCGAATCTGGATTTCTGCCATGTCAATCCAGGTAACACCATCAGAGTGAGAGGCTTTATTATCAAACTGATAATCCAAAACCTAGTAATGTATACAAGAGGTCAAATGCAAGCCTTTCTAGCTAGCAGCATGCTTGCAGTCTCTGAGATGTTTGGAGTCCAATATCGCATAGCACCAAATCAACAGATGGAAACACTTCACAACCAAACGAAGATTCTATTTGAAAGCGATCGAGGCGATTGCCAAGCAAAATTGACAACGCTGGACAACATCTTCTATAATGGTCTTCATCGAAATTTTGAGCTCCAGGCCCCGAATTTGATCTACACATTCAAGCTCCAGGATGATTGTAGCTTGTCTTTGAATGAGGCCAGCCGGGGGCAAGTTTGGACGAATGGAGTGTGTGGGAGAGGAGGAGTCGATTGCTATCTCACAGTCGAACTTAATGGGAACATGGTCGTCAAAGAAACCCCAAGTCAGGCTGTTATATGGTCGCTAGATAGGTTCTGTGATGGACCATGCTATGCATTTGTGACTATGCAAAGAGATAGAAATGTGGTGCTCTATCATGTGTTTAAGTCCAGCCCAGGTAACCTTTATGCTGCTTGGGCCACGAATACTGTGAAAATTTTTTAAAATAAAAGACGGCACAAAAGAACGAAGATTTTCATTTAAAAGGTGCTTAGGTCGTGATCGATCCTATAATCTAGCTTGCGATGGGATTCGCTATGGAAGATTAGCCATTGCTGTATCTTTCATTAATTTCCTCTTTCCAAAATAAACCCCTCGCCCTCGCGAATATTGTGTGGTTCTACCTAGTTTGGGACGATGGCATGGGCCGGGCCACAATCCAAACAGCCACATTGTACGGTCACTGTCAGGGGGAGGGAAGAAGAGGCGAAGAAGACGAACAAGTGAGAGCTATGAGATTTTGGATTTAGGGCTCCCGGAGATAAGAGGAGGGAGGAGGGCAATGGCGCAGCAGGGAGGCGCTGGCGAAATGTCGCCAGTCCAGTTCCGGGAGCTGGACGACGAATTCATGCAGGTAGATTCTTGACATTGTCGCTCGAGTCGATCGATTGAATGCCCCGAGTGAAATATTTCCATGGATTGGCTTTGGCACTCGCAGAAGCAAGCGAAGGTATGGCTAGAAGCTCTTTTGGAGGAACGATATGGTGGAGATCGGAGCTTGGCGGATTTGCTCGCCGATGGAGACATCCTGTGAGTCAATCTGAAAATCCGAATTGGACGAATGTGTCTCCTCCAAGAAATTTATTTATTTTTTACCTCTTTCCAGGTTTCGAGTTTCCAAGCTGTTCAAGGATCTTATACGAAGCAGCTCTGGAGGGGATGCCGCATTTCCAAGGCGGCCTTCCTCGGAGCTACCATCAAACGATGCAAAGGGTGGACGATATCTCCCATACTCTCACGTTGATTCATTCCTCAAGGCAAGCAATTTTTGTTTCTCGAGCTAGATATATGTTCCCACTTGCGTTTGCACAGATTTGCAAGAGAATAGGCCTGCCCGATGTTGATCTCTTCACTCCTCCGGATGTTGTGGAGAAGAAGGATATCAGAAGGGTCTGCTTTTGCATTCGAGCTCTCTCCAAAAAGGCTCGCGCTCAAAGTCTGCCGGTGAGAAGAAGAAAAGAAAACCGGAAGAAAGCTAAGCGTGTGGTGTGATGTTTCAGGTTCCAGATTTTGATAAGGTAGCTCACGCAGGTCCCATGCCACCGACGGACAAAGTTGGAGGTATCCGAGAGCATTTGCAACAAGCAGCGGTGGCGAGCTCCTCTCCAGACTACAAGTCTCCACGGGTACGAGATTTCTGTTCACCTTCCTTGCTACAATAAAAACGAAAAGACTGCTTGCTGTGCAGACTTCTCAGCCGATTGGCAAAGTTCTATCGTCTCCGAGTCTCGCCGGCTCGGCCTTTATGGAAACGCCACCCTCGATCAAGCAGCAGGAAAGCGGGACTCCCGTAGAGCTCCAGCAGCAGGAAAGCGGGACTCCTGTAAAGTTCGAGGACGAAACCGCATCTTCAGAGCTTCAAGATGAGGAAGATAAGCAGTCAATCTCAGTATTGTCATCGCAAGTGGGCGAAACTGAGGATGACGAAGATGATAACAATCCCAAGCTTGTGGACGAGGAGAGATTTGGTGATCGCGCGCCGCCGCAAGTCAAGGATCAACAATGCTGCTCCGCCCAGGTATGTACTTTAGAAAAACTATTCCCAGGTGGAAAGAGGTTTCTTAAAATCTCTCTTTTTGTCTCTTTCATCACAGGCAAAAGAGAAAGAGCCGCCGAGTTGCGTGCAGCGAAATGGAAGTACTGGGTTTGTTCTTCCTTTGGTGATTGGAGCAGTGGCACTGGTCGTGAGTGTTCTGGCAGTGGTAGCAGTCAAGCGGCCGAGGTACTAAAAACTTTCTAGTTTTCGCGACTCTTTCTCTAAGTTTGCTGTTCTTGGCCAGGAAAACTCGCGGCTACTATGTCGTCAAAGAGGGTGATACTCTGGCCAAAATCTCCCGGACCTGTGGAACTGGGCGCTGGACGGAGCTCGTGGACAAGAATCCGGGCCTGGCATCAAACCCGGATCTCATCTACCCCACTGACAGACTCAAGCTAGCGTAGAAACATCATCGACGAAAGAGAAGTCAGTCCTTTTCATTCTTTCAAGCTTAAATCTGTGTTTGTTTTTCCAGTGTGATTCATCCTAGAACCCGAAAAACTAGAGCTGGAGTGGATCGATCGATCGACCACCAATACAGGAATAAGAACCGAGAGAGGAAAAAGAAAAGGAAAGGAGAAGAACAGTATGAATGAGCTGTGGGTGTCAAACTTCACCTCGTGTGTTCTTCGCTAAACTTCTTTCTTTCACTCCTTTTTGGGCGTCTTGTTGATGAGCGACTTGTGGATGTGAGGAATCACTCCTCCTCCCGCGATGGTGCCTTTGATTAGCGCGTCCAGCTCCTCGTCTCCACGAATCGCGAGCTGGAGATGCCTGGGAGTGATGCGCTTCACCTTGAGATCTTTGCTCGCATTCCCAGCCAGCTCCAGCACCTCGGCCGTGAGGTACTCTAGAATCGCTGCCGAGTAGACCGCCGCTGTCGCTCCCACTCTCCCGTTGGCCGCCACGCGCGTCTTGAGCATACGATGGATCCTCCCCACTGGGAACTGCGAAGAACACAGCCAAGCGCGTGTGAGAGAGAAAGAAAGAAGAAATCGATCGAAATTTTGGAATCGCGGCACAGATTTCGATCGCTACACACCTGGAGGCCGGCCTTGGAAGATCGAGACATGGGCTTCTTCTTGGAATCCTTGAGATCGAGCGCCGACTTGGCCGATAGCAGCCCCTTGGCGCCTTTCCCTCCCACCATTGTGTCTTCTTTCCACAAACCCTAACCTTCCATCGCTCTAACGCGCTGGTTTAAATACCAGTCGTGTTCTTCAAAGAAAGCACGGAGGAAAGAAGGGCGAGGTTTCTTGGAGAGGAACGATCGACGCGGCGCCGCCTCATCGCGCTCTCAAATGCCGCCAGCGCGCCGCCGGTGATGGGATTGCGGAGAATGGCGGACAAGGTGAATCCAGCGTCTTCCTCGGCCGCCGCCGCGGAGGCGAGCAGGGATCGGCTGTGGTTCGCGAGCTGGATGCGATGGATCCCGACCTCGCGCAGCGATGTCATCCAATCAGAGCAGCGCCTCCTGACGCTCGTCAAGTAAGATCGAAGAATCTCTGGAAATCTCTCCCTCTCCCTCTGATCGGATATTTCGATCCACAGGACGCCCTATGTCCAAGAACAGGTGAATATCGGCTCGGGGCCGCCGGGATCCAAGGTGCGCTGGTTTCGATCCGCTAGCAACCAGCCGCGATTCATCAACACGGTCACGTTTGAGAACAAGAATGCCGCGAGCGCGCCGACGCTGGTCATGGTGCACGGCTATGCCGCCTCGCAGGGTTTCTTCTTCCGGAATTTCGATGCTCTGGCGGCGCATTTCAGGATCATAGCCATGGATCAGCTCGGGTGGGGAGCTTCCAGCCGGCCGGATTTCACTTGCACCAGCACGGAAGGTATGGCTTGGAATCTGGATGGAGAGGGAGTGATTGAGAGATGAGAATTTCCTGGCTAGCTCTGGCTTTCCCACGTAGAGTTTTCTACTTAGATGGAATGTTTCTCACAAACCAGCACGGAAGGTATGGATTAGAGTGAGTGATAGATGAGAATCTCCTGGCTAGCTCTGGTTTTCCCACGTAGCTACTTTGTGACTTGGCACTTATTTTTTCTTGCGCTGATGCGTGGTTCTCTTTGTAACTAGAGACGGAGGCTTGGTTCATCGATTCCTTTGAGGAGTGGCGCAAGGCCAAGAACCTCGACAAATTCATTCTCTTAGGACACTCGTTTGGAGGCTATGTTGCCGCTCGATATGCTCTCAAAGTAAGTTACTCCCTGGATTCTTTGTTTTACGATTTTTAAACTGGGACGTGTGCGAGCAGCATCCAGAGCACGTCCAGCATCTCATTCTCGTTGGTCCAGCGGGGTTTTCCCCTGAGTCCGATCGCTTCATACAGTTCCGATCAACGTGGAAAGGAGCTGTGGCAAACTTTTTCTGGGATTCCAACTTGACTCCTCAAGCAATAATACGGTAAGGTCTTTTCTCGCTTGTTTGTAGCCATCGCAAGCTTATCTCTTGCACTCTTGCACTGGACAGGAGTCTTGGCCCATGGGGTCCCAATTTGGTCCGCAGATACACCGGTGCGCGTTTTGGAACCTATGCATCCGGAAACATTCTAAATGAGCAAGAGTCGACACTACTTTCAGGTCTGAAAACCGCCTCCGGGTAGATCTCGTATCGTTATAACTCATTCTCGTGTTTGTGTCTTTCGCAGATTACATCTATCACACACTGGCAGGGAGAGCAAGTGGCGAGCTGTGCTTGAAATATATATTCAAGTTTGGAGCGTTTGCAAGATCCCCACTCCAAGAAAGGTGTGGTTTGTTTACTCGAAAAGATCCAAGGCTGATGTTCTTGGTTCCTCCCAGTGCTCCCCATTGGAAAGTTCCCACCTCGTTTATCTATGGCGTGGACGACTGGATGGACTACAAAGGCGGGATAGAAGCCAGCAAGCGAATGAAAGTGCCAAGCGAAGTTATCCGCGTGAGAAAGGTAAGCTTGACAAACTTGTGATTTCGCGATTGGCTTGAAACGTTGTGGTGTGATTTGCGCGCAGGGAGGACACTTTGTTTTCTTGGACAATGCCGTCGCGTTCCATGCGGCTGTGTTGTATAGCTGCAGGAAGCATCTTCCGGAGACCACGGAAAAGGAGGCCAAGGACGATGGAGATTTCTTTCCAGCGTTCTCGTCTTTCGACTAGAAAGTGAAAAATGCGAAGCATGTAAACTATACATATCTATACAAGAAAAACTCTCACAAAAGGATATAGTTTCGCTGTAAAGGAGAAAGAAATCGAATACCTTGTTTCTACGTTCCATCCGAAAGGATTTGCAAGACTCGGTGCCGCAAACACTCGATCGCCTGAGGCGAGGTGTTTGCCCAGCGCGAAACTAATGCAGCAGGCTTGGATAAGTGGTGATACGCGCTGGAGCTGAGCTTGGACGAGTAAATCGTGAGATTTGTGGCCTCCGCAACCCACATTTGGTTCCTCTCGTCCGGGTGTTGCTTCACGAGGTTGCAAAATCCAACCTGGTTGACAATTGACAACCCAGAATCACACAAAACTCACCGAACTTAAATGCTCAAAAGCTTACCACTGTGTTGGAGTAGGCAGACTCGAACCGTAAGAAAGAGTCCTCTGAGGCCGAGAAGTCGATGGCCAGTAATGCTGCTTCTCCCTCTTGCATTGAGCCGTCCGATACAAACACCCACTGCCTCAAGCGATCGCCGCTCTTGTAAACTTCACCCACAAATATGACTAGAGCAGCAGCGTCGAATTCACTGCAATCCAACGCAAACTCGTCAAATGGAAAACAAAGAGAAGCGTGTGTACCTGTAGGCTCGAAGTTCCACTAGACTCGAGAGCTGTAATCCTTGACGAGGAGTGAACTCGAATCTGGAAAGACTATCCAGCGTCAGGAAATACAAAGCGAAAGGAGCATTACATACGTAAACCCTTTGGAGGATATTTTTCGCCATCTTGACGACTTGTTGGCGCTTAGGAGACGATTCCCCGCTCGGGATTGCGGTGCCGGCTTCAAATTCGAAACCACGTAAGCAGCTCCTTCTACCAATTCCCTGGTCTACAAACAAAGATTAAACAATCAATAGTGAAAGAATGCACATACCAGAGTATCGCTTGGGTTCCAAATCATGATGGAACCATTTGAGCTCGCGACGTCAATAAAGTTAGATTGGAGTCCAGTGACGCCAATTTTCAGAAATGGAGTAACATCCCTGGAATGAAGGTTAGCATGTTCAAGAGCTTTCTGCACATGTTTCTCCACAGCAGCCTGGCTCGAACACTACAAGAAGCGCGCTTAGAGAACAAGGCATGCATTAAAGCTTACGAGCCTACCAGTTTCCTCGCTTGATAAGCCGAAAGAGCCGCGTGATCCTCGCTTGTCATGTCCGCCATCACCACTTCAGGATCAGAAGCACACTCCAGAAGCTGGTACAACTTTGCTCCTTCATGAAACCTTTCATCTTCGTTGAAAGCCTCGGCGTCACTTTGGAAATTAGCCATCACGTCTTCTGCAATATTTGCTCTTCTGCAAAAACTAGAGTCAGCAATAGAAAGAATGCATTTACATGTTCCAACCTTTGCTCGAAGTTCACCTGCGCGGCGTTCTCTGCTCTTGTAGTTCTGACTACAAACATCCCGTCTTTCAGCCTGTGCCAAATTAAAAAGAAAATCAATATACGAACAAAGAGCATTATGCTTACTTTTCTCTATAAAGAAGCGGATATATCCGCGTAATAGCTATGCAAGTTGAAGAAACAATTCCACCGTCAGCTTTGATACATCTAAACGCCAATGGTAGAGGACGCTGCCTGCCTGGAATTGCCAAGGATTGCGCTTGGTCAACATAACCAGTAACAAAGGAAATCAGTCAAAGAACTTACGAGCTCCCAACGGATCTGCCCAGTGTGCTCTGTAAGTACCATTGATGTGCACAGCCAAATAGGCGACGCTAAAAGCCTGAAGAGAAAGATAAAGCAAACAGTTAATGGAAGAGAAAAAAGAAACACCACACCTCGAGAGGGGGAAGACCACCAATTGCGCCGGTTAGCGAAGCGCCAGATATCTGAAAAGAGGTGGCACTCAAGAATTTGAGGTGCTTAAGCCGGTTACCTGCAATTTTTGTCCAACAAAAACCTTTCCTGCTTTCAGCTGTTTTGATAGAGGTGCGTCCAATGCAGCATTCAGGCAATACCTGGATCAAGAGCTGAAATATGAGGTTAGATGGCACTATTACCTACATGTTCTCTTACCATCCATCAGTAACTTCCACTAGACAGCGTTCATTTCTTTCTTCACCCGTCTTCCGCACGGCCGAAATGCACAGAATCATCGTGTGTGCCGCCGAAGCATCTCTTTCACAAATTTTCCTTAAGACTGATCGGTGTCCATTTTCGATTTCCTTCACATACCTGCGACAAACACACGGTCGCTAGAGGTTTAAGTGCAGAACAAACACAACATACCGGTACTTCAACTCGCGAAGGACGTTACGTAAGCAAAGAAATCCTCGGGCTTTTCGAGGATATGAACGTTGTTGCGATGCGAGTTTCCAAACGATCCATCTATAGTGATTTTCCACCCATCTGGCAAGAACACGAGCTAAGTTTTGCACGAAGAATCAAAATCATAAAAAGCTTACTCGTTGGTAGCCAAATGCGGTTTCGCACCGGCTTCCAAAAGCATGTTTCGAAGCTCAGAGGCACCAGCCTTCCCGCACAGCAGTTTCATCTTGTAATCCCTGGCAGTATCCGATGTCATGCATAGGATCTCCTTTGGTACAAACACCAAGTGCTTTACAGGATGAAAAGTTCGTCAGTCTTGTTATGACGGCGTTCGACATACCTTGTCAGCTTGATGAGGCAGGTGCTGAAAATATTCCCGCAACTTCACTCGAGGTGGCAACCGGAATCCTTTCTCACGACCAATTGCATTGAGCTCAATGGCCATCCGATTCGCAGGAGCACGGGGCTTGTTTCCATCAATCTCACTCAAAGGCAAAAGCGTGCGCGTGTCCGTGGAGCTTCCATCTTTCGGCAGCTGGAAACGCTTGACGGATGCCAAAGCCATTGGAGAAGTAAATCTACATCCAAGAACAAAAGAATTCTTCAACGAAACAACAGAGAGAAAGAAAAACAAAAAGAGAGAAAACCCACCGACGTCGCGGCTGCTTGAATGGTGGCACTGAAGCAGGCAACCTCGAGAGACCTCCACGAAAGCCTGGAGTGGAAAATCCTTTGAGCTTTGATGCATCGTCTCGATTGCTCTCTGCGCCACCAAGTAGCGACCTTGCCTTGTTGAGCGCCGTGGAAGAGATTGGAACACTCTTTCCATTAGCTGTCTGGAACAAAGCGTTTGCTCCTCCCCCTGGCGATAAAAATCCCAATGCTGGTTCTTCCACATTCGATCTCTTCTTGCTCGGAGTGGCAGCATCTTCGTTGCCGAGTAGGGCCAATGCTCTCTTCATCGCGGCGCCAGATACCTGGACCGATTTCCCTGTTCCAGTTTGGAACAGCGATGCCTGCGGCGCCGCCGAGATCGTGGCACGCATGCCGCTGGTACCCCTCTCAAGAACATCGATATTTCGATCAAGCTCCTCCTCCTCGCCGCGAGCTCGAGAAATCACACCTGGAGGGCTGACATCGGCGAGCTCGCGGTCGAAATCCTCCTTCGCTCGACGATCTTGAGCTTGGCGAGCCAAACCTGGAACGCTGAAATCCCCGAGCTCGTTCTCTTGCCGTGAATCGAGCACCCAGGCGCTGCTGGCGCGGATCGTCCCGCAAGGATCCAGAGAATGGCCGCGCACTCGCCAGGAGGGAATCCTCCCTTCCATCGATCCGCGCTTCCAAAACCTAGGGCTCTTTCTCTCACCACAAAATGGCGGCATTTCTTCACAGGAGAAAGAAGAAGAAGGTCATGGTAGCTCTTCTCGTCGCCGCCATAGCCATTCTAGTGATCGGCGGCAGTGTAGGCGCGGCTAGGCGCGCAAGATCCTCCTCCTCCTCCTCGTCTTCCTCCTCGGCGTCTTCCTTCTCTGGCAACTACGATATTACCTGGGCGCCGGATCACGTCGACGTGATCGGCCATGGCCAGGAGGTCGATCTGAGGCTCGATCGCTCCTCCGGCGCTGGATTTGGATCCAAGAACAGGTTCTTGTTTGGGCAGCTGGGCCTCCAGATCAAGCTCGTACCCTACGATTCGTCCGGCACGATCGTGGCTTACATGGTAAGAGATTTTCACCATGGCGATCGATCCTCTCTTCGTTGTGGCAGCTCTCCTCGCTCACGGACGATCGCGACGAGCTGGATTTCGAGTTCTTGGGGAATTCCACTGGCCAGTCCTACACACTCCAGACGAATCTCTTCGTGAGCGGCAAGGGAAAGCGCGAGCAGCGATTTAAGCTCTGGTTTGATCCCACTGCCGACTTCCATTTCTACTCGTTCGTCTGGAATCCTTTCCAAGTAATGTGAGTTGTGAGAGTTCTTGAAGTGAGTTCTTTGATCGAATGCTAGCTCTTTCCAGATTCATGGTGGACGACATTCCAGTCCGGGTCTTCAAGAACACCACGGATCCATACCCGAGCACGAAACCCATGGGAATCTACACGAACATCTGGGGCTCCTCCTCAGTGGACTGGGATCACGCTCCATTCGTAGCGTCCTACCGAGGATTTACCATCGACGCTTGCCAATACTCCGAGACTTCTCCAGATGATTGTCACGACACTAACAGCCAAAGGTGGTGGAGCTCACTCGAATGGAACGATCAGCTCCAAGGAAATCTCTCATTCGTCCGGCGCAACTATATGATCGACGACTACTGTAGCGCGTACGAATCGCCACCTCTCGAATGTACGACAAACTCGTAACTTGGATCATCGCTATGATCCAAGCGTTTTCCACGAATCCAAGGTAAGCACCGACACTCTAGCTCTGATACTAACACCTGGATTGCACAGCGCGATCAATCTTACACGAAAGCTTTTATCTGACTGAATGGAGTACTAGTAGACAAACGAGCAAGCACAAAAAGTGATATCAACCAGATCGAGCTCGAACGAGAGAATGGTACGTAGTTCTTGTTCTACAGTTCGTCGCGCGAAGCTTTCAACTTCTCGCCCAACTCGCCCGTGGCCTTCGACGCGGCCTCCTTGGCGGACTCGTATTGAGACTTTGCCTTCTCGCTACCACTCTTGCTCGCAGCCTCGGACTTCTCATTCACAGCCTGCTTCGCGGCATCCGCTTTTTCCTGAGCTTTCTTCGCAGCGTCACTTCCCTGCTCTGTTGTCTTCTTGGTGGATTCTCTCGCTTGATCCTTGACCTTCTTGGCCGATTCACTCGCTTGATCCTTGGCCTTCTTGGCGGACTCACTCGTTTGATCTTTGGCATTCTTGGTGGTCTCACTCGCTTGATCTTTGGCTTCCTTGGCTTTCTTGGTGGCCTCGCTCCCCTGTTCTTTGGCCGATCCAGTGAGCCCCTCGGCCTTCTCCTTCGCGTAATTGGTTCCACTGCCGATCGAGTCTTTGGCGCTCTTGAGCTTCTCACTCGCCTCGCTGCTTGCTCGCTCGGTCACCTCCTTGATCTTCTCGCCAGTCGCGCTGGTCTTCTCCTTGGCAGCCTTTGCGGCATCCTCGGCCTGCTTCTGAGCGGCATCCTTGGCATCCGCCACTTTCTCTTGGGCTTGCCCGGCAGTGCTCCCAGCCTTGTGCTTTGCCTCGGCTGCCACGCGCTGGGCCTCGCTCGAGAGATCTTCAAACTTTCCACTGGCGCTTCTGGCGGCTTCTTTCGCAGTACCTTGGGCTTTCTCACTTCCGCTCTTGACAGTCTCCTTGGTTTTCTCCTGGGCTTTGTTCGCGTTTTGCTTTCCTCCTGCATGGAATGGATCGCGATGGGCGTTAGAAAGAAAAAGCAATCTTAGAACCTGAGACTGTCTGCGTGATCTTCTCTTTCACTGCATGCAGATGCTCGCTGGCTTTGTGAAGAACATCGTTTACAATGTTCTTACCTTCTTCGTAAGGCTCGGACACCTTGCGAGCTAAATCATCCGCCACATTCTTCATGGCTTCGTTTTGCTCGGCGGCCTCCCTGAAGATCAAACCAAGCACACGGATCAATCATCTCGAATCAATAAAAACCACGCTAGCCATCGCTTAAGAACCAAAGCTACGATGGAAATATCGAAATATTTCAAAGAAACTTACTTCGATCCAGTCTCGGCGAACGAATGAACCTTCTCGCGCGCCCAATCCGTCCACGTTTGCCCCTCATCGGCGGCCTCCTCCACCTTCTGTTGCTGCTTGTTCTTGACATCGTTCACGCCCTCCCACGCCTTGTCGCTCGTTTCTTTGGCGGTGCCCAGCGCCTGCGCCACGATCGCCGCCAATGCCAGCAGCAGCAGCAACGCAATCCCGATCCTCTCCATCTCCTATCGATAGATCAAACCTGTGAATCTCTCCTCTGTCACACACACTCCTCTCAATCAAACCCTCGCCAATGCTCGAATCACAAATCCTTGCAAGATTGTTTTCATCCTTCCTTCCATCGAATAAAAACCACCAGGGCCGAGCCCTGCATGTAGACACGTGGCGGGCGGTGGACGCCCCAGGTAGCGCTGCCACGCGTCACACTGCAGGGTCAACAACCTTGACAAGTGTAGCCTTCCGGGCACAGTGCTAATTATCCTTGCTGGATAACCAACGGCCTGGATGCGTTCATCTTTTGCCATGCAAGAGCCACCCATGCAATCACTTGGAGGCTCAAGAGCCGCAGCTCCACTTCCAGCCTTTGGACTAAAACACTGACGTACGACCAAAAATTCGATCCTCCTTCGCGCAGCTGGAGTCTCGCTAGTGCTCGAGAGGATTCCCTCCCGACAATCACGTAAGTGTTCACTGGAGCTCCCTGGATTTCAATCGAAAACTTATCAGTCTCATCACGCTCTAGCGAATTCAATCATACCAGTGCTCTATCCACAGTTCGCAAGCAATCGTTCGTCTTGAGTAGCATCAACACAACTCGAGGAAGCCTTCGCAGGAGCTCCGAGAGCTCCATGACGTATTGCGAGGCGTACATCTGCAAGTATTCCATACAAGTTAAGGCATTGAGCTTGAAGAGTGAAAACATCCTACCTGAATCTCTTCGCGTCCCTCCTCCGATGGTGGGACGTTTAAGTGATCTATAGAGCTCTCGACCACACGACTCCACGGCCGCATTGTGAGTACTCCAGCAAAAAGTACGTACAAATCTCCAGCTCCCAGTCCTAAGCTGTGCTCTTTGATCTTCTGAGCATCAGCAAAAACAAGAGCCTGCGAGACAATATATCATCGTAAGTTTTGACTTCAAATGAAGCTTCCGAACCTTCCAAAGTCCAGCGTAGTGTGCTCGTATAGATGGTTCGAGCGTTTTGTACATTCCATGATCCAGCAAAACAAGCTGAGGTCGTTTCCTCTGTCCTACATCGCATTAAATTTTATAAGAAACTCTTAGAGATGTTCTAGCTTACCAAGTATACCACCTCCGCTCGGAGCTACTCTAACGAGTAAATTAGCTGCATGGGGATCGCAATGCACAAAGCCATGGCGAAAAATCATGTGTGCAAATGCCTCGCTTATCTAACAAAGCACCATATGAATAAGTTTACCAAAAGCAAGTCCGAATCCTACCAGTTTAGCAACATCGTTGGGCCGGAGATCAAGGTTCTTGATTCCCTCCACCGACGTGACTTTGATTCCGTCGATAAACTCCATTGTTAACAGCTTAGAGGTACTCAGCTCCAAGTGAACTTCGGGAACAGAGATAAATGGCACAATACGCGGCGAGAGTTTTTTAAAATTGTCCATGCACATTCTGGCATTCTCAATTTCATTGTTGAAGTCGAGTTCCTGCATTCAGCGTAAGTTTCCAGCCAAAAATGTCGAAAAACTTTGTAGGCTTTTACCTTTGGAAGACTTTCCTTCACCTCGTCCAAGAGCCACCTGAAATACCAAAAACTCTGTTAGATCAAGGTGCAAACGTAAAAGCGGAATGATTCCGAGGTAGAAATGCAAAATGCAGAAATGCAGCGCTCGAGAGGCTGAAGTACCGGTAATCAAAAGATGGAAACAACCAGTAAACCAAATTAACAACAAAACCAACTGTAGCTGTATCAGCAGCTGCTGAGTCCGTGAGATGCATGTGTTGCACCTGTGACGAAAAAGTGAAACAGGAAAAAAAAAAAAGGAAAATAATTGTCTCTACTTGCTCCACAGTATCCAAGCATACCTTGACCGCAACTTTCTTCCCGTCGTGTGTTTTAGCCACATGAACTTGAGCCAGAGACGCACTTGCAAATGGCTCAGGATCAAACTCCACGAAAACCTGTGATCCAAAGATAAAAAAAAGAAAAGAAATCGACTGAAAGGCAAGGAAAAAACACGTATTTACCTCGTGAGGGAGACGACCAAGTTCCGACTTGAAAACATCGCACACCCGTTCATACGAAGAAACGGGACACTTATCAAGCAGAGAATCTTGCATCACTTTGACGTACTCGGGAGGAATAAGATACTCCTGAAACGCAAGATAAAATCGTATCACGCAAAAGACCCAGAAAAAACTCACCAATTGCCCCAAGTGCTGCCCAAGCTTGATGTAAATTCCACCGTTCTTGAAACAAAGAGCTTGGAGGCGATTGGCACATCTTAAGTGAACTTCATGCTTGGCGAGAGTCTTCTCTAAGCTGCCCTCTTCAAGTCCCCACAAAGAGTACTTATAATCTACTCAAACGAGCAATTCAACACCGAAGGAACTTAGAACACTGATAATTCGCACCTGCGACAATGGCCGAGGCTGTAGCCACATCCCGAGCAAGACGAAGAGGCACAGTCCACAGCAATTTCAGGCGGCGCTGCCGATCGCCATCGCCAGTGAGCGCCCAAGCCAGCGCCAGCGTCCCGATCCCTCCCAAGCTCGCAGACCCTACTTTGATCCATTTGCTCCTGGCGCCGGCGTCCGAGGACGAGAACGATGCTCCTTTCCGCGAGCGCAGCAAGACCAGAGGCTCAATCGCCTTGCGCGCCCACCGCATCGGAAGGAGGAGCCCTAAATTGGTCTCATCCAATTTAAAGGAGAGACTTAAAATATTTAAAGGTAAAGGGTCTTTACTATTCCTATAACTTTTTTAACGGCAAATCTGCTGAAGGGTTTTGTTGACGTGGCCAACGGTCAGGGTTTCTAGGGTTCTTGGCTAGGGCTTGTGGGGGAAAGCAAGGGCGCCGCGCGTGGGAAGCAATGTGGATCCCATGAGGCGATGGATTTGCATGAAGGCCACCAGTATTTGCCAGCAGGATGTGTTGCCATTGCCCGGATTCTTGCTTCTTGGAAGCGCGATTCGATCCAGGAGGCAGCAGGAGCGCAATCGGCAGCAGCAACAACAGCAGCAATCTAGGGCGAGTAGCAGCGGTATGATGGGTGAGAATCACACGACGAGTAGCAGCGGCGGTGGCAGGAGAATGGGGGGATTATCGCGAGGTGAGGGCTTTCGATTCGAATCGCCAAAGAGATTATCGTCTAGGGGCAAGAAGAGCGAGGAAGCTGACGCGACGGAGCTGGGCCGGCGATTCCAGAACGCGGTCAGCTGCCATGACTGGGAGATGGCCGAGAGCTTCATCCCTTTGGCGGATCCACAGCGCCTCAACGATGGTTTGTGCGTAGCGCTCGACTCTTTGTGGTTCTTAAGCACCGAGGACGAGCTCTCCGGCGCAATGCGGCTGATCGAGAAGCTCATCCATGCCGGCGCCGACGATTTCACGCGAGCAACGCTGCGTACTTCCTTCTTGGTTTCGTGCGTCTCGGCTTGTAGAAGCCGGACTATGTCTCTCTCGGACACGGTGACCGTCATGGCTCAAAGGTACACACGCTTCTTAGTTGTTTCCTTGACGATCTTCCTTTTCTTTTCTTCGGGACGAGCAGGACGAGTGTCAGTGTATAGCATTTTTCTTCTTGGGTTTCCTAGGTGACGAGTCCATGACTGAAGCGTCCATCCATCAAATCTTCCTGGAGATAAGTTTTCCCGATCGACTGGTATCTTCCAAAGGCTCGGTGATCGTCGTCACTGGTATCTTCCTGGATCAATCTATTTGTCAAGGACACCGGAAGAAAGCCCAGTTCTAGCAGCACTGACAGATCAACTCTGAGTTAAACACAGGCTACACGATAGACTAAAGGAAAGTAACGAGGACGAAGACATGAAAGCTGACGCTGCTGCCAAGGTGCAAAGATTCACAGACTGGGCGCTCAAGTGCATTGGCTCTCACTCGAGAGGCAAAGGGAAGTTCAGTCGAGGGGAAGGCAGCCGCGGTCTCCAGAGCTCCATCGTCGAGTCGAGGATGCAGCTCATGGCTTTCAAGAGGTTTCTAGAGCTGGCCGGAAACAAGCTGACTGTGAAGGATATCACGGAAGCTTTCGACGCTGCGTGCTTTCCACTCACGCTCTTCTCCAACGCGATTGATCCGGGGTGGGCGACGGGGATTGCCGCGACTGCCATGCAGGGACTCTTAGGAATCCTCGTGGAGGCGGGTGCTGATAATGTCAACCAGTGCTTCCTCGAGGCCTCGCGATTTGGAAGCACCGAGCTCGTTCGAATTCTTCTACAGGCAAGCGCGATCTTCTCTCTTTTCGTCTTTAGTTCTTTGACCGATCGTGCCTACTTAACTCGTGTTTTTCTCTCGCAGATCGCTCGAAGAAGCAATGTCGAGTTGGACGTAGACTTGGCTCTGGGATTCGCTGCTCACTACTGCAAGATCAACACCATGGAATGCCTGGTGGAAGACGGCGGAGCCGACGCATTCTTGGGACCCCTGATGAGAGCCGCGGAGAGAGGTTCGATGCAAGTGGTGCTGTGGTTTGTGGAGCGCGGCTGCAAGGACATGGAACTCTGCCTGGCTCTTACAGCGGCGGCGGCAAGCTGCCGCCTCGAGGTGGCGGACTATCTCCTGGCTCGAGTTCCCAGATACGTCTTGCAAACTCTCAGCGTGGAGATCATCAAAGCCGCGGGAGAACGAAGCAGCGGGTCACTGGGAGGCATCGCGTTCCTGCTCCAGTCGGATTTCTTGAGCAATCCAGAGGCGACTTACAGGCTCGCAGATACGATCTCGCGCTCCGAGGACGAGGCCATCACTCCGGAGCTGCGGAGCTTCTTGCAAGAACAGTGGTCCGAGGCAGCGTTTGCGAGGGGACGGAGGCTGGGCGAGGTACACCACTTGAATGTGATGAGAGTTCTCAAGAAGGGGAACTCGGCGCTTCATCTGGACGAGCTCCCGCTCCAGCTCCAGGTGATCATCGCTTACATTCCGCTCTACAAGGAATGCGTCGCCGCCAAGGGGGTGATCTTGTCGCAGCTGCTGCGAGGCCAATTGTTTGATGCGGCGCTGCGATTGAGCGCCGGGACGCTCCCGGGGACTGAGGACATGCTCCTCAAATCCAACAAGCAGACGCTCCTCTCCATCGTCCAGTCGCGCTTCCCCACCTTCTTGCTGTGGAAGCAAGAGCCCTAACTTTTGAATTTGAAAAGATCCGAAGGAGATTCCTCCAGCCAGCGGTGGCGATTTTCTCAGCCCATCAACGGTGACGATTAGCATCTAGCTTTTGAACGGTAGAGATTTGTCTTTTCGAAATGATATGCAAGGCGGGCATATTCTAGGGTTCTAGAAAGCTTCTAGTGCTGCGTGCTTGATCAGGCTAAGGCGCGGGCGCGCGATCCATCGCAATGTCGAGTTATTTCTCTGTCCAGCCGGTTCCCGACGTTCCGGTGGTTCCACCGTTCTCCAGCACGGAGATTCAAGCTTGTTTCTCGGATTTCATCCGGTAACGTAGAAATGCTTATGATTTTCGGTGCCAATCCGCTCTTTCCGATGCAGGGAGCACGGATTTCCTGCCCCGAGGCAGCCGCATCAGCCGCAGCATCCAGGATCGTCGTCTGCGCAAGGTCTCAGCGGTTCGCTCAATGTCCCGCCAGGGTAATCTCCGCGTTTCCTATCGATCGATCGATGCGATATTTCTAATCGATGCAGTGATTCCGGCCGCTATCTCGATCCGCTGCTTCTCCACTCCTTGTCGACACCTCCGCAGCCTTATCAGCCCTGGGTTTGCTACGATCATTTCTTCAGGTAAAGTCTATTTCTTCCAGCAGCGACGATCGATCTATGAGAATCCATGTGGTTTTCTTTGTATGCAGTCAGTCGGGGTGTCCCAATCCAAGGAGCTGCCAGCATCTTCATGTCTTGCGCCAGATAGAACCATCGGCTCGGAGGGAAAACATCGCCAGTGATTTCTACGCTTTCGATGGTGCTGTGAGGCCCGGCGGTGATACGAGGATGGTCTGCCGCTACTGTCCGAAGGACCTGGCTCCTTGCCCTTTCGCTCACCCGCAGTACTACACAGAGCTCTACACGTCGGCAGAAACTCTCCGGCTGAACATCTACAGATCTGTAACCGGGGCAGTGATCGGCAGAGGTGGCGAGAATGTCGATTTCATACGACGCTTGACAAACGTCGAGGTGGGAATCTATGCGGACGAGGAGGAAGCTGAGAAGAGCATCGTGGTCGTCCTCGGGCCTTGGCCGCAGATTGAGCGGGCTAGGCAGCTCCTGGACTACCTCTTGCGGTGCTGCCGGAATGCCATCCAGGACGTGGGATTTGGCTGCTACAAAGAAAGGCTGTGTGCCGACTACTTCCATGGTACGTGCCGCTTTGGAAATTCCTGCCACTTTGCTCACGGTAAGAGGGAGCAGCGGAAACCTCCGAGTCCTCCTCGTCCTTCCTGATCATGCGTCTGGTGCTGATTTTGTCTGTACAGTGAGCGCGCGTGTGAGAGTCCAAAGTTCTCGTTCGGTCTTTCGTCTGATCTGCCTGGGTCTTGTCTTCCTGGTTTGATTTTGTGACGTCTTCTCCTGGAAGTCAAAACCTGTGATACCTTGTACACTTCCATTCTTTCTTTTCGCTTTTGTTTTAGTTTTCTTCTAGTTTCGTTTTCCGCGGTTCTCAAAGTCGTCGTTAAAGTCTTGCCGAGATCTCTCCCGTCCTTGAGGAAGTGGTACATCCTGTCATCCAAGAACTATGCTGGGTCTAGACTGACACGACATGCGCATTTTTGTGCACGCGTGTTTGGTGAGATGCCAGCTTAAATCTATTTTTCCCATGCCAAAGGTCGAGCGTGTTTTGAAAATGTTTGAAGTGGGTGGAATAAGGTTGGTGCTTGCGCTTCATGCTGCCTGCCTCCCGGACCTGCCCAGGCCCGACGGAGCAGATCGGGCACCCGATCGAGCTTTGCGACATATAAATACTTTTTGCCCGGCCTGAGCAAAGAGAGTGTCAGCTTTCCAAGCTTTTTGCATCTCGGCACAACAGACGTAGAGCTCTACACTCCCATGGCAACAGCTGCTGAGAACGCCATGTCTAATGGAAGCAGCAGCGGTGTCAAGCGGAAGAACTTGAGAGCTGCTCGTCCGGGGAAGGCGACGCTCCTTGCCTTTGGAAAGGCCTTGCCAGATACAGTGGTGAAGCAGGAGTACCTGGTGGATGGCTACTTCCGGGACACCAAAGTGGAGAACGCAGCACTCAAGGAGAAGCTCCAAAGGCTCTGTGAGTATACTTATTCGAATTCTTTGTCTCCGGAACATCTGGGACTGACCGATGATGTTTTTAATTCTCCAGGCAAGACTACGACAGTCAAGACTCGCTACGTGGTCATGTCCAAGGAGATCCTGGAAAACCATCCCGAGTTCTACACGCCAGGGACCCCGAGCATCCGACAGAGGCTGGAAATAGCTGGTGAGGCCGTGACAAAGATGGGAGTGGCTGCTGCCACTCAGGCTCTGGCCGAGTGGGGGAGGCCCATCTCCGACATCACTCACCTCGTCTACGTCTCCTCGAGCGAGGTCCGCTTCCCCGGCGGCGACCTCTACCTGTCAAAGCACCTCGGCCTCAGCAGCGACATCAGTCGAGTAATGCTCTACATGCTGGGGTGCTGCGGCGGCGCTGGCGGGCTCCGGGTGAGCAAGGACCTGGCGGAGAACAATCCAGGCAGCCGGATCCTCCTCGTCATCAGCGACACCACGCTCATCGGCTGGCGTCCTCCGAATCCACAGCGTCCCTACGACCTGGTGGGCGCGGCGCTGTTTGGCGACGGCGCCTCGGCGGTCGTGATCGGCGCCGACCCGCTACCATCGGAGAATCCGTGCTACGAGCTGGTGACCGCGAGCCAGTGCTTCGTCCCGGGCTCGGAGAAGACCATCGATGGCCGGCTGACCGAGGATGGGATCATCTTTAGCCTGGGGAGGGAGCTGCCCCAGATGATCGAGAGCGAGGTGGAGGGATTCATCCAGGGGCTGCTCAAGCGCTCGGGGCGAGTGGAGGCGGGCGGCGTGGACTATGATCGATTGTTCTGGGCGATCCATCCCGGCGGCCCGGCGATCCTCAACGCCTGCGAGAAGAAGCTCCAGCTGGCAGGGGACAAGCTCAAGTGTAGCCGGCAGGTGTTGTCGGACTATGGCAACATCAACGGCAGCACAATCATCTACGTGCTGGATTACATGCGACAGGTGAACGCCGCGGCCGACAAGCCGGATCCCGAGTGGGGGGTCATTCTTGCGTTCGGTCCGGGCGTTACCATGGAAGGCATGGTTGCCCGCAACCTGGTGGCGTGACACCTTGCTATAGATTTTTCCAAGGGTGTAAGTAACCGCGAATGGGAAAAGAATATCCCCTCCTCCCGCCAAAATTTGCAAAACCACGTCCCCCACTAAGCAAAGAATTTCATTGGCAAGTCCTATGATGCTGAACGGATTTGTGTTTGCATCGACGAGATCGCAAACATATTCCACGGAGCAATACGGTCAGTTTTGTGTTTTTCCAGCTAGCCGCTATATAAGTGTAAATTATGAAATTCTTTGCTTGGTGGGGACGTTGCAAGACCTATGAAATATGTTGGGCCCTACACCTCCATAGTGAGTTACAAAATCCTTCCAACGAGAGAGCTACAAATGCTTCCAACGAGAAAGCTACAAATCCTTCCAAGGCAGTTTTGTCTTTTTCCAGCTAGCCCCTATATAAGTGTAAGGCTTGGTTGGTTTATTTTCCGGTACTAAAAGATGGATGCCGCCCAGCATTTAGATGCTAATGCTCACATTGATGCAGATTTTTCGGGGGAGGTTGATTTGTCTTGCGATGAGGTACTGTCGGAAGTTCTAAACGATGACGATTTCTATTTCTTGAGAGAATTATTTCTCGATCTCGGCTTTGAAGTGGAATTTGACAATGTCGCTGTGATAAATCCCAGCGATGAAGGTGAAACTAGTGTCAATACAGTCGAGTCTTAGAAATAATAACTGATTTTGATAATAATTAGAACCGATGACCACCTTTCCCGGTTCTTGATTTTACAATGAAAAGTGCCACCGTTTCGCAAAATCGAGAAGCATTAGAGATCCTTTCGGTTTTTGGTGGTGCATACACAGGGATGAATAGTAGCAGCAGCAGTAGCTAGCAATCCTTGCTTTCTTTAAGGTTTATCATCTGTTGCCACTTCTTTACCCTTCTTCCACCTCCACTCTTTTTGGAACTCTTCACCCATGAAAGATGGCGTTTGTAGTACTAGTAATGCTTGTCGCGCTGCTGTTCATCACCTGCGGGCGCAAAGGACGCACTTCTTGCTTTGCTCCTCGGCACTGCCAGGACTCATGTCCTGGAGGCACTTAAGGTGGTAAGAGTGGCCGCAGAAAAGCGTTACCACTGCCACCCTCTGGCTAACCAGGTGCTCCGAGCATATGCAGCATGGCTTGTTGCCGGCAACCACCAGCTTCCTGTAAGAGTTGTAGCGCTTCAGCTGTAAATTGTAGCAATCAGCCTGGATTACAAGTTTTAGTGCCAGGATCTATCTTTTGCTGATACACACACCTTGAGAATGTTATTGCAACCCTCCCTGGGCGATGCCTCCGTCTTATAATCTGTGATCACCTTTACAAGCCTGTCTCTCAAACTGCGCAAAAGCCCAATGTCAACCGAGATTTTCCCTCGTCACAGTGATATCGTGATATCATACAGTGGCACTGGCATGTCTTTGGGAATTCTGTTTATAACTTGCATGGAATGAATATCTCCCATGGTATGATCCAAAGGCACGCCAATCTGCATTGCACACAAGCCATCAATATGAGAGGATCATCTTAGTAGTACTGACCATATCTGGATTGTGCAAGCTCTGGTTGATAAGCTCATTCCATAAATCATCATCGTTGTGAGACATCACAAACTCCATTGCCTGCATTCAAGAAATCATTGTCAGTTCACATCTAGGAATAAATTCATCACAAGTGCTTACAACTTTCATGTTTTTAAGGTCATTGATTATCAAAGTTAAAGCCTCTTTTGCATTTCCCATTTGACTCAATAAATAAACTTTTTCTTTGACAAGATTTAATCTTGTACAAACATCGTATGCCTGTAAAAGTATATTACATATTCAAAAACAAAATTAACAAGTTTATACCTTGTTAAGATTGTAATACTGACTGCTATGTAAAAAAGGTAGCAACAATCGTGGTTCGAATTCAGCATATAACTGCACCTGCACATAAACTCAATAGTCTACAACCTTCCTGTAAAATAAATCTCAAAACCTGTAAGTCATGATATTTCTTTCCAGCGTTTGTGTCTTGTTCGAACAAAGTATGTAAATAGTCGTGTCAAAGACACTGGCAGCTCTCTGTTTGAGGCAAGTTGTCTAAAGAAGAAACCACCTCACTTGCACTAATTCTGTCTCTTTGCTGAACGAGTAAGCCAATAGCTAAAAGTAGAAATGCAACATGGATCAGAGGTTCCACATAAAACTTAGATGTAGCTTACATTCCCATGAAGAGCATCATAAAGATGGTGCTCCTTGATAATATCAAAGACTGCGTGCTTTTGCAGCTGCAAAAATACGATTTAAAATTAGCAATGCTAGTGGATATAAATGGTTATACCTCGAGATATAGCTTTAGCACGTTATCAAGCTGTCCCTGAGAATGGTAAAGAATTGCAAGCGCCTTCATCCTTACTGTACCAGCTTACACTCTCTTCAAACAACAACAGTAGTTACCTCGAGAAAGGAGTTTTTCCACTGGCACTGCATTGTATCTCAGCGACAGATATAATTGTTGGTACAGAATGGGCCAACTCCGAACCAGCACTAAGAATTGCTCATGATGCCCAGGATTTGCAAGCAACCGATTCAGGACAACCTTAAGACATTTAAAAATCCATGTTAGAGCTCGCGCTGCACATTCGGAGCTCACCTCATATACAGTATTGCAAAGCTGCGGATTAACAACAGGTATAAATGGGGCCAGAACGTGCAACTGTCTCAATTGGTCGAAATGAGATACCTGTCTGCGTTTACTCGTCTGCCTCAGAACGTCTTCCGAAATAAAAACAGTAGCCTCACCTTTCTCAAGCCGAAACACTACCACCCAAGATCTTTGGACACATAGAAGCAGCAAGCGCGTACTGCCTCCTCAGGATCAAGTGATCTAAGTATTGTGCACCAACCTGCACGAGAACACATCGGTCATTGCCTTTTACCATGAAAAATAACACACCTTGTCCAACAGCTCAACACGAGCATTTCCAGCTTCTACAGCTACTAGTGCTTTCTCAAGCCACCTGAGGAAAAAGAAACTAATAAAGTAAAAATAAATCGCAAGTGAGGAATGTTGCTCTTACTTTTGATGCTTTTGTACTGTAGAAAACATCGACAAGTCAGAGCGCCCATGCTTGAGAAGCCATTGAACATGGTCGTCCGCATCCCTGCCAGGAAAGATTTTGCAGAAGAAATCAGCTGCCTGTACAAATAATTCTAGCCAACCTTCGTCGAGCAACAACCACGTCCTTTGGCGAGACTATGTAGTATAAGGGCTCGTCTCCAGCAGCCCACTGAACACCAGCGCAGCTACTTCCTACACACCACAAGCAAATGAGTTTTCTTTTTAACATCTTATCATACCAGAGAATGGAGCGTGAGCAAATTTGTAATCCTTAGCTTTGTAGTGCTCACAACTATGCATAGAGAGCTTATCTCTTATCACTTGTTCGTTTCTCCAGTTCAAGATGCATACTTCAGGCCGTTGGTCTTAACACAGTTAGCATTTAAGGTTACGCACTGAAGAAATATAGACGAGCCATGTACCTGTTTCGGTGTACCCCGTTGCTAGTAAGAATCAGAAGAGCTTCCGCACACGGAGCCAGGCCGCAGATGCCATCATCAGTTTGCAAAACTGATACTATCTCGACGTACTTTAGTGCTTCGCGTGGAAAATCTGTCCTTGCATAGACGAGAATTCCAAAGCAAATGGCCGCAGACTAATCTATGGTTTTTCCTTCTTGTACTGAAAGATGAATGCCGCCCAGCATTTAAATGGTAATGCTCCCATTGATGCAGATTTTACAGAGGAGGATTTGCATTGCGATGAGGTACTACTCAACAATGACGAGAGAGAATTATTTCTGGATCTCGGCTTTGAAGTGGAATTTGTCAATGTTAGGAGTCCCAGCAATGAAGGTGAAACAAGTGGACAAGAAGTTATTACACTCTCGTAGATTATAATTAAAATCGGTGACCACCTTTCCATTTCGTGGTTCTACTATCCACGCTAGTTTGATGAATTTTAGCTATAGATAGGCTTGACTCCACCACCGGCCTTTTCTTCACCTTCGTAGCGACAAACTCTGGCGGATGCAAACACTTTGCCTGGCCTGCAAAAGAATCCAGACTCGGGAGCGCAGTGGCGGTCTTCGCTGCAAATACACATCCCTTCCAAGGCACAGTGATCGTGGAAGCTGATAATGCCGTCTCTGTCACCGCCAAGGATAGCGTCAGACCACTCGCTCGAGAAGAGGCCCGCCGGATCTAGCCTGCTCTTCGCCCAAACAAACCTGTCCAAATCCTTAACTCTGTCCCGGATGGAGGTGAAAGCTATGTTCCTGTTCTTTCCCCAGTGAGGCTTCCCTTGATACTTGAAGAGCGCCATCTGTTCTATCTCTTCCACCACGTCTTCGTTGAGCCTGGGAGTCCCCGCGTCCCTGGAGCGGTAGTAAGTTATGTCGAACTCCACCGCGTCTTCCTTCTGCCCGAGGTAAGCGCTGGACGCTTTCACGTAGCGAAGGTAGATGCCACCGTAGAGGCTTAAGCCGCACAAGCTGCTGGGATCCATGTCACGGAGTTTCTTGATGTCTAGGATCAGGTCCTTGACCTTGTCAAGGCTCACGGAAAAGGCCGTCTGATGGTAGAAGGAACCGGCGACTCTCGGATCCCAGCTACACACGTCCGAATTCACCTCTTCTTCCTGTTCTTGCAAGCAGTTCGCAGGCAAGCTTCCAGTCATCTCGGCAATGACAAAACGAGGAGGCGCGTCCTGGCAACCACCTGCGGTCTGCATGAGATTGTTGTATCCCACAACGGGAAAACCCGTGAAGTTGATCCCGTCGTTTAAGTACCCGTTACCACTCGGAACCCGGCTGTTTAAAACCATCTCAGAGAGCCTGCAAAGCGTCCATTCGTCCTTGTCCTGTTCGATCTTTTCCTCTGCATATCAGACAAATATTAAGCGAGTCAGAACTAAGAGACACAACTGCTGCTATAAGCCTACCACTGCGCCTGGACTGCTCAGCTCGTTCTACTGGAATTGGCTGAAAGCCCCTGTATTTGTTCGTTCCTCCTCCAGGCGTCTCGAGAGGAGCTCTTCCGTCCAGCTTAAACAAGGACGCCTTCAAGGACGGGTGCCAGCAGATGTCCCCAAACTCGTGGTCACTTCCAAATCGCAGAACTTGTTCTTCGATCTCACAATCGTCTTTTACTTCCAAAGCCACCGACCTCTTAAACATGGGCTCAATGCTGAGAGTTATCTTCGAGATTGCTCCAAGAACTCCGAGCGAGAGCTTGGCTGCATCCAGCAAGTCCTTGGAAGAATTCTCGTCCAGCCTGACTACCTTCGCGAATCCATCTTCCTCAGTTGCTGGAACCACCAAGGATACTCCCACAACGTAGTCATGGAGAGCACCTCCGCGTCCCCACAGACTGCTTCCATGCGCTCCAGTGCTCACTGCTCCAGCCACAGAAACTGCATTCCAGTATGTAGCAGCCGGTAGTGCAAAGCCAAGCGTGGAAATAGTATCGACCAACTGTTGAAGGAGAACTCCCGCATCAACTGTAACAGTCATTTCCTCCGAATTTACCACGATGCCTGAATTCAGATCCCTGGTGCTTATAATCACTCCCGAATCACCCCCCGGACATGCCAGTTTCGGAATACTCTGCGACCATCTGCTCACCATTTTCATCTTCCGATTGTTACTCGCGGCGTATGCAACTGCTGCTAACAGCTCCTCCTCTGTTGCTGGATAGAACACTTGAGCTGCTCTACATGGAATCCTGTCTGGCCATACCCCCAAGTAGTTCCTTAAGCTGCATCCCAATGCATCGCATTTCACAGGAGACGGGGACACTGCCACAGCAATACGGCAGAGCGTGGCAATAGCGGCAAAGAATATGAGCGCCATTATTGTGTTCTTCTTCAACTCCGCTTTCTACCTCGCCTGCTAGACTGATACTTGCCTGAGCCAGACACTGTTTTCAATGGAAGGAAAAGCAAAAGCGTTTACTCTGGTAAGAGTCGCTGACGGTATAACTCCTGTGATGACGCAGCTAGAGATAACGGCGAAAATCTGACCGCAAACTCGTAATTTCGTGGTAAGACGAGGTACTCATCGTGGACGCAGGGACTCCAACTATCATCGCCACCTAAACCCATGTGCTTGTGATCAAGGTGCACCTGCAAGTATTAAAACAAACAGTAAGAAACAAAAGGTGAAAAGAAAGCTCTGGGGGATACCTCAATGTCCTGTCCAGCATGCAGCTCTTCTTCATGAGTTGCTCTATCCAGCTCCTCTGTACTGTAGTTGCTGGCACTCATTTGCATTGGAGGACTTCCTTGGAAAGGCATCGCAAACAGACCAGCATCTCCCTCGACATTCTTGAAAGCCACCCATCTCACATCTGCGCGTCCACCGCACTCACCAGGAACAATATATGGGGCGTGGAGGTCAGACACCTTCTGCTTGTAGATTCCCAGTTGAGCGGCTGCCTTTCTATCGGGATAGCACTCGAACGGTCCTCGTCCATACCACTCCGCTGCATTGCACTCGTTGCTTATAGAGAAAACGATGCCCACCCTTGGTAGCGGCGGAAGCCTCGGATTTGCTTCAACTTTATACTGTGCAACGAAGTCGCCGCTGCTGTAAATCATGTAGCTCACTGAAACCTTGAACCAGTCTGTCCCATCTTCCTTCGATCTTATTGATATCTCCCTCTTTTCGTCCCCGCTCCCTGATTCTGGTTCTATGAAAAGCACCCCCTCCAACAAAACTAAATGAGAAGACAGCTGCTTCGCCTGAAAACCAGTTGTCCCAGTGATTGCTAGGCGGTCTAACCCGAATGCCTTCCATCGATACGCGTAGCTTATCTTGTCACCACCTTTGTCATTGTCTGTTGGAGCCCTCCAAAAGCAAGGGAGAGGCCCTTTGGACATCAAAAGCATGTCCCCCAGCTGCACAAAATCCATGTCAGAATTTTAGAGCGACAGCGACCTGAAAACTGTTACCCTCCAAGAAGAGCGTCCAGTACTTCTGTCAAATTTAAGCTCCCAACTATGCTGAGGCATTGCGACTACCACCGTGCTCGTGGAAATATCAGTAGACAAAGGATCCGAAAACTTGACTGTCTGCAGACACCCATGGATTACAGTAAGAAGTTCACATAGAAAATACCTGTAATGAATAAGGCTGCTTTGAAGGTAAAAAACATTGTTGTGACGCAACAACCTGTCCTGCACAGGCCCATCGCGTTGATGTTGCAAGTGTAGCTGTAATAGTCAAAGCCACATCGCTTCCTAATATATCGTCGCAAAGAGAAGACCAAGGCCCAGCGTTTAGAGGCATCCTGTACTTCTCCCTAGGTTCAATAGGTGGTACATTCCAGGAACCACTTTTCAAAAGGGAACCATCAGTTGATAAACTCCATTCAAAAGCCAGATCTTCTGAAGTGGTAAAGGAGCGCTTGTTCCAGATCTGATATGAAGGTTCAGCTTTGCATTTGGAAGACTAGTAAACGTACCTCAATTTCATCGCCATCAATATGTATCCCTAAAGGTTGATAGCAATATTTCACCTCTGCAAAATATATATAGTCGAACGGAGCTTAAGACACTTCATACGCAAGTACCTTCGAGAGCTGGATGTGGAGATCTGTCCGGCCAGACGAGACCGTTGACACAAAAATTGAGATCATTGGGTGTATCTCCAAAATCACCACCATATGCCCAACGTCTTGAGCCACCTTCCGTTTGTATGAGGCCCTTCAAACCAGACCACGTTACAAAAAACATTTATGAGAAGACAATTACCTGATCAACCCAATCCCATATAAAGCCACCCTGCAACCCATAGGTGGTGTCAATAGCTTGCCAGTACTTATAAATGTTCCCGTTGCTATTTCCCATGGCATGCGAATACCTGTAGAACCCAGTGTTTTCGAGTCTTTCAATAAAAACAAAATTATAAAAAGCTTACTCGCATAGAATAACAGGCCGAAGTTCAGAAGTGTCGTTCGCAATCTTCACTGTGTCCCAGACGCGCATATACATGGGGCATATTATATCCGTTGCAGACGTCCTTGAGCCACCCCCTTCATACTGCACTAATCTCGTGGGATCTCGACAATGAGCCCAACCTGCGATGCAACAGCTAAATATCATCTTAAGCATACAGGAAAACTTTAAAAACCTGAGCAGCTTACCAGCCATGGCATCATGCGCTGGTCCGTATCCCGATTCATTACCAAGAGACCATATGATGATGCACGAATGGTTTTTATCCCTTTCAACCATGTTGACAAAGCGGTCAAGTAGTGCGTGTGTCCACATTGCTTCGCCAGCCGGGTGTTTCCGAAGGGTTGATTCAATGAGCTCATACCCATGAGTTTCAATGTTTGCCTCGTCCACCACGTACAGTCCAAAGAGGTCACACAGCTCATACCAGCGAGGATGCTGCGGATAATGACTATTTCTGACGGCATTCACATTATGCTGCTTCATGAGAACGATATCCTAGAAATTAAGCACGCCGTAAGACATTTTGAAATAGTCCGAACTGAAAATTCGAGACTTACCCTCGCCATACACGCTTCCACGTTTGTCTTTCCCAGGCGTGGGTGATGTTCATGCCTGTTGAAACCGCATATGGTCACGAGTTGACCATTCACCAACAGTCCTTTTGGTTGAGCTGAAACCTGCCGGATTCCAACTCGGCAGGATTCGCAATCAGCAGTACCTCCATTGTTATCCTCCAAGACCACTACCAGTGTGTACAGGCTTGGCTGTCAGTGAAAAAAACATTAGAAAAGTATGGAGTCAAATTTAAATAGTTCACCTTTTCTGCAGACCACAGCTTTGGATTGTCGACAGAAATTGTCAGCACTGTTCGTCCGTGATGAGCAGAGATAATATCCACGACTTTAGTGGGAATGGTTTCAGGCTCCTGCTGTTCACTCTCGACTGGGTCAAAAAGAAATCCTCTCACGCGTAAAGCCATCTCTTTTGTTAGTTTAGTTGCTCCTTCAATCGACACGTCCATCTAAAGTAAAATATACTATGAGAAATATTTCAGATATAGGCATCATCGCCAACCTCTACAGTTGCCTGCCTCATGTCTCTGGTAAGATGAGTTTTCACAAAATAATCGCTGATCATAACCTATCAAAACAATCCCACATTATAACACGGCCCATGTTAGAACAAACACCGACCAAGTACTTACTTGCGGCTTTGAAAACAGTATCACATCTCGGTGAATCCCAGATAGCCACCAGTGGTCTTGGTCTTCAAGATACGATCCATCACTCCACCGCATCACTTGAACAGCTAGAATATTTTCCTTTTCTGTGCAGAGGCTTGTTATCTCAAATTCGGATGGAAGACGGCTGTCCTGACTGCAAGTAACAATCCAAGTCTGTCAGCCCGAAACTTAAGAAACCAAGACTTTATACCTGTAGCCAATAAGCGCACCATTCACCCAGGCATAAAACGCAGAATCCACGGCCTCAAATCTTAAAAACACCCTTCGTCCTGTAAACGGACTACTTTTAGCTTCTGTACCATCGAAAGAGAAAGAATAAAGAAAATAAGAAACGTACCAGCCCACTCGGGGGGGACAACGAATGATCTCCGATAGCATCCAGTTGGATTTTCTCGAGGTACCAGCGGTGGATCAAAAGGAAAAGGATACGTAACATTGGTGTAGATTGGCGTGTCGTATCCATGCATCTGCCAATTCGATGGAACTTCCACAACGATGGAAACAAAATCGAAAACCACTTGTCAAGAGAACGTCGAAAAAGAAGAAGAAGAAACACTCACCGGGCAGTGTCTTCCAGCTGCTGTCATTGAATTGATTCTTGTAGAACCAATGCGGTACACTCTCGGGCTTGGAAGCAAGGAAAAACTTCCAATAGCCACTGAGTGAGATCAAAGACGAGGCTCCCTCACACCAAAACCTGGCGCTATCGAGCGCAGCTGGGACGGCATCGTCGTCCCACACAGCTGAATTGGCGAGCTCCCGATCGGCCTGGCTGCGCGCAATCCAGAAATCCACAGCCTCTGCGAGGAAATATTGCTCAATCACAAGAATGCCAGCTCCAAATCTCACCTTGGACGCTGGAATGCGAGTAGAGCGGGACGTGAGGATTGCGCTTGTTCTTGCCGAACACCGCGGGATCCTCCCAGTCGCGATGCGAAGCTCCAGCAGCATCCATGGCGTTGGAGATTTTAGCCCTAGAGATAAGTAGGGGATAGAATTAAAGTAGGGGAATATCCAAAGCTCCAAACAAGCCTTGCTTGCTTCTAGGGCTGGATAATCGCGCGGGGAGAACAGGCATCGGCGTCTCGGCATCGGCATCGCGATCTAGCGCCAGGTTCTTGAGCTCCATTCGACTAGGGCTTTGGCGACGGGCGGCGCGCGCCGGCGAGAGATGGATAATCAGGGCATGGGATCGCACAGCGAGCCATTCTTTGACTTGCTCCAGCCCAACACGCCCTCGATAGCTCATGCCAGCGGCAGCAGCAGCTCGAATTACGTCCAGAACGGGCCCCGGAGGATGGATTCTTCGCCGACTTACTCGTTCAACAACGACGATGTTCTTCCGAGCTACGATTTCCAGCCGCTTCGCAGCAACGGTAGCGGCGGCGGGGCACGCATCGAGGAGGCCGGGGGCAAGTTTCGCCAGGCGAATCCCTCTTTCGAGCAGCAGGTATTCTCTTTTCTTCCTTGTTCTTCGTTTCCTTTGGGTTTTTTAGATCTATCTACTTTCAACAACACTGGGTTTGTGCGTAGGTGCGCGATCCTCCAGTAACTTACGAGAAGTATGAGTCGACTCGATCGAGGCATGAGTTTGACAAGGATGCTTACGACTCCGCCACTGCCGCTGCTGTGGAGCGTACCATGAAGAAGTATGCTGACAATCTTCTACGTGTTTTGGAGGGGATGGGGGGTCGACTATCTCAACTGGAAGCCGCTACTCAGCGTCTCGAGGTTGCTTTTGAGAAGTCTAAGAGCGCCAACGCGAATAACCACGGCGAGACTGATGGAAGACTCCGGATGCTAGAAAACATGCTTCGCGAGGTATGTGTATATGGAAGAAACAAGGTTTGCTTGACACTACTTGTCCTTCTTTCCAAGGTGCAAAGAGGAGTACAGGTCGTGAGAGACAAGCAAGAGATCAACGAGGCACAGTTTCAGCTGAAGCTGCAGCAAGATAAAACCGAAGCGCCGACGACCAAAGTTGAGGTTCAAGCACCGCCGGTTGCTTCCTCACCGCAGCAGCCACCTCCAATGCCGCAGCCTCCTCCAATGCCGCAGCCTCCTCAAGCTATCGATTCCAGCGTCCATCAGCAGCAGGCTCCGCCTCCTCCACCGCCACTTCCAGTCGTCCACCAGCCACCTATCCAGCCGACTCACATCCAGCAGTCTCCACATCCTCCTCAGCATGTACCTCACGCGATCCAGCAACAGCAGCAGCCATCTTACTCGTATCCTCCACAGAACCCAGCAGCTCCGCCACCACCTCCGCCGCCACCAATGCAGCAGCCTCACCCGCAGCCATATCCTCACCAGCCGGAAGCACCGCCATATCCTCCAGCCCCAGTTCCAGTCTCCCATCCTCAAGGACCACCACCGCCACCACCGCACCACTCTCAAGCTCCTCCCGTCAACTACTCTCTCGACATTCCTTCCTATATGCCACCACCACCACCGCCACAATCTTACGGTGCTCCTCCGCCTCCTCCTCCACGGCAACATCAACAGCAGCAGCAGCAGCAGCAGCACGGCCCTCCGCCTCCACAGATGTACGACTCACTCCCGGGAAGAACAGGCTCAGGGCCGCTGGCATTGCCTCCACCACCGTCAGCTTATCAGCAGCAGTCATATGAGACCTCCGGCTATGGTGGCGGAGGCGTGAACTACGGGCGGATGCACAGCGGCGGAGGTGGTGGTGGCGGCGGTGGCTATCCTCATCTCCCAACAGCGCAGCCGATCCAGCAGTCTCTTCCCAGCGCCAGGCCTGCGAGCCGGTCGGGTGTAGACGATGTGATCGACAAGGTTGCGGCGATGGGATTCCCGAGAGACCAAGTTCGTGCCACGGTCCAGAGGCTGACGGAGAATGGACAGGCTGTGGATATGAACGTAGTGCTGGACAAGCTCATGAATGGTGGCGGGAGTGATGCTGGTCCTCCAAAGGCTGGATGGTTTGGACGGTGAAGAAGAAGAAGAAGAAGTCCTTTTAGATTCTATACCTATTGGAGTGAATGATTTGTTCTGTACATAGAGAGGTGTTCGTTCTTCTTTGTCTAGAAGCTCTTCTATTCTTCAAAGAGATTAAAATGGCTTAGCTTAAGAAGCGTTCTTTGAACTGTTCATCCGAAGTTCGGCAGTGATTTGTCTGTCCAAAGAGTGAGTATCGATTGTTGGCGATCAAATCGTAAGTTGGGTCTCGGAGAAAGCTGGAAATTCAAGATTGATTTATGCCGATTTTCCAGAGAATTTGGAAAGGGAGAGTGACTTAACAGTGGGAAGAGCAATGCAAGAGTTGCGAGTGATGGATATGGCTCGTCTAGGTAGTGGGCGATTCTCAACACTGCTTCCGACTTGATGTAAGATCTAGCAAGTGAAAATCTCTCTCACATATCGCGAGGAAAGAAGAGATATGGTTATACCTCTGTTTCTCAACGAGGACGATGCTTGAGATATCATCGCGAGAGCGTCCAGATCTCTCGAGCAGAGCCCTCCCTGCGTTGCTCTGGAGTGCCGCGAATCGCAGGCGAGCGCGAGGGTCCCTGTCAAGAACGAAATTCACGCCGCCATTGCAGAGGTTGCAAACACCTGAAAGGGGAGAACGCAATTTCTCGATCAAAATCGAGAGAATTGGATTGCTGTGCTTGTGCGTACCATCGAAAAGGATTACTGGGCGAGTGTCGCTCGCGAAGAGAGGCTGCCATGGCGAACTAGCACAGAAAGTGCGTGGACATAGAGTCATTTTCACCTTTAGAAACCCTAAAATTGAAAAACCATTGATTTAGCTTCAAAACCCTAAACAAGGAGCGCGAGTAAGTCTTTCAGGATTCCATATCTGGGCCCTGCGCACATCTCTGCTGGCGTACAAAGGCTGAGTTCTTCTCTGAAGGTGTTTGAGGCCACGTCATGTTTGCCATCTGGAAGGCTATACAAGTTTGAGCGAGTTCCCAATAGTGAGAGCCTATGAATCACAAGTGATTCGCTGCTTTAATTATATTTTGTAATCTTTCATCTTGTGGATCTTGCAACCTGTGAACACAGCTCTGATGCCATGTTGGGTGCAGAAACCCATCGTAGGGTAACTCTGTTGAAAGAAAATATATATACATGATGTATCCTACCGTTTGTTCTATCTACCAACTACTTTAATTTCTATTCTACTTCACTTTGATCTGATTTATTACCTCCACTTTGGTCTCCTTTCTAGCGGCATGCAGCCATTCTGGTCTTGTTGATCAAGGAAGGTCCTAATTTGAGTCGATGGAGTCTAAATTCGGGATCAAGCTAGACACGAAGCATTTCCATTACATGGTGGACATTCTCTGTCGTGTCAACGAGCTCAAAACGGCTCTGGATCCGGAAACGATTTGAGCCGAATGCTGCCACTTGGAGAACAGTTTAGGAGCATACAAGAGGTGGAGGAACATAGATGTGGGAAAGGTTTCATTTGAACCTCTTTTGCGTTTGGAGGCTAGAGATTCCGCGTACAGTAAAAAGGCTTAAGAGTTGAAGCAGGAGCTAGCCTGAAATGAGCCTCGATGAGGTGACAAAGCTAGTATTTTTCACAAGTTCTTTGCTGGAGATGCCCACAGTCAGAATCACCCACGAAGTCTTGAGATTGAAGCAAGCTTAAGGAACTTGGCTCTCAAGAGCAGCTGCAGCTGATTTGCCGGGAATGTTCTGCACAACGTTGATCATATTGGAGAGGAGGAGCTCTGCAGGCATAGCGAGAGGCTGCCTATGGCTTGCACTATCAGGATGACTGCCACCAGTTGAACACCGAGGTTTCATGTCTACATGTTTACAGGGATAGAAGCTGCTCATGTGGTGACTACTGGTAATAATGGAATTCAAGTGTCAAGCATCATCATCCATGTCACGGTATGTGTTTTGATACAAGGGAGGCATTTGCACGTGATGGAATTCAAACAACCATCATTTTCACAAAGTTTGGTTGTTTCATACTTCTATACAGAACACGTACAGTGGTTTTATGGAACCAAATTTATGACAATTACAGAAAGTTATCGAAAGAAGAAGCCTGGGATGCTATGCAATTGGCTGGGATGCTATGCCTCAGCCAATTGCAGTTTGCAGCCTGCTTGATCTTCAATTGGCTGGGATGCTATGCCTCAGCCAATTGCAGTTTGCAGCCTGCTTGATCTTCTTTTGGTCCACCATATCAAGACCACACCAAAATCCTATGACTGTAGAAAGAAGGGCAGTGGTGTTAGGATCTTATCCTTTACACCTTAAGCCAACTGGCTAAAGGGGTGATCACTTGATTGTAGAGCCTTTTTTCCTTATCCTCAGTTGGCTGAAGGGGTGATCACTTGATTGTAAGGCCCTTTCTTTATCCTATTATCATATTATCCTTGCAATCAGTTGGCTGAAGGGGTGATCACTTGATTGTAAGGCCCTTTCTTTATCCTATTATCATATTATCCTTGCAATCATACTTAGGCCACCCTCTGGTCACCATGGTCCTTCTCTTAGGGTCTACTAAACTTTGGTTCTCCCTCTAGATCCACTATGTTGAATATTCCTTCAAAATATTCCTGCCCCACTCGTCAGCCACGAGAATCGAACTAGGCTCCGATACCATTGTTAGAGTCTTATCCCTTACACCCTAAGCCAACTGGTTAAAGGGGTGATCACTTGATTGTAGAGCCCTTTCTTTATCCTAACATGGCAAAGTAAGGACTTAACTTGGTTCCACTGTGTTGGCTATTGTTGTAAGCAAATTGCACTAACGGAAAATATAGATCCCACTGTCCTTGCCTTTGACCAATGCTACAATATAGCATATCCTCCACCACCTGATTCACACGCTCGGTTTGCCCATCCATCTGAGGATGATCTCCACTCGAGAGTTTCAAAGTCACTTGCATAACCTTTGCAAAGCTTTTCCAAAATCCACTGGTGAACTTAATGATGTCCTCCGACAAACCAAAATCAGGAAAAACCTTCTCCAAGTAAACCGCAGCCAAGTTTGAAGCAGTGACAGTCTTCTGAAAAGCCAACAACCGCACATACTTCATCAACCGATCCACTATAACCCATACTTGCTCCTTTTGCCTCTGTGTTCGTGGCAAACAAGTGATGAAGTCCATAAAGATACTACATCAACAGCTCTGAGGAATAAGTAAAGGTTGCAAAAGTCCCCCCGGCTTCTCCCATGGCACCTTAACCCGCTGACAAAGCTCGCATGATTTACAATACTTGAGGATATCAGCCTAAACAACACTACACCATAAAGATAGTGCCGCCATGTCCGCAAAGCATGAACAATAGAGAGCAACTCTTGCTCATATGTGGAATAGCATTGCTCTACGGAATTCAAAGTTCGACTCTCATATGCAATAGGCTGTCCCTCTTGCATGAGAACTCTTCCCAGTGCATAACCACTCACATCACATGTCACCTCGTAAGGTTTCGATGGATCAGCAATGCGAAGCACTGGAGTCTCGCTCAACAATTGTTTCAGTGCCACAAAACTCTCCTCTTGTGGCTTCTTCCACTCGAATAGCACATTCTTGCGTAAAAACTGCGTCAAAGGAATAGCCACCTCTGGAAATTTAAGATGGAAACGTCGGTAGTAACTAGCCATACCAAGAAAATTGCGCAACTTAGCCATTGTAGTCGGTGTAGGCCAATTTTCCACCACAGCCACCTTCCTTGGATCCGTCTTGACACCCTTAGATGTCACAATATGGCCTAGATATTCCACCTCCGACTTTGCAAATTCACATTTGCTCTTCTTCATATAAAGTTTGCTGTCTTGGAGCAACAAAAGAACCTTACGTAAATGCACCCTATGCTCCTCTATATTCTTGCTGAAAACAAGAATATTGTCTAAGAAAATCTCCACAAACTCATGAAGATAACACGCAAATACCTTCATCATCAACTGAGTAAATGTGGCTAGTGCATTCGTCAAACCAAATGGCATAACTGTAAACTCAAAAATGTCTGAAGCTTGTGTTGAATGCCGTCTTAGAGATAGATGCATCATCTATTGCAATCTGATGATATCCACTCCTCAGGTCAATCTTGGTAAACACTTATGCTTCACCAAGCTTGTCCAAGATATCATCCACACATGGCATCGGCATTTTATCCTTCACTGTCTTCTTGTTCAAAGTGTGGTAGTCAATACACATCCATATTGAACCATCCTTCTTCTTCACAAGCAAGACCGGAGCACCAAACGGACACTTACTTGGCTGAATAAATCTAAACGCAAGTAACTCTTTGACTTGTTGTTGAACTTCTTGCTCCTTCGTATAACTTAACCGAAATGGACACCGGTAAATTAGCTGCGTCCCTGGCTCCAATGTAATCCCATGCTCCACACCTCGTAATGGAGGCAACCCATGAGGAAGTTCATGTGGAAAAACATCAGAAAACTCATTTAGTACATCCCGTATTGCTGCTTCTCCCCCACACGTGCCTTGGTTCCCCAAGTCACGAATAAACAACAAGTAACTCGAAAGTGCTTTTCCATTACAATAAGCCTGTTTCAAAGATGTAGCAAAGAGCATAACAACTGGTGGTTGAACGCCCTCGCTAAACCACACATCTTTAATGCCACTATACTCCAGCGAGATACACTTAATACTCCACTTTATCTCTGGATCCACCTTCACCAACCATGGCATCCCAAGAATGAGATCCACACGATGGATATCCACGAGATAAAAAGTCTCCACAAGTGTGGTTTTGCCAACCAACACTTCCAGCCCCTCAACACAAGCATCAAAATGCTAAATAGAGGTAGTTGCACCTTTCACTGTGTATGGAAAAACTTCACGTGTGATCAGGCCATGCTCCGCAACAAACTTTGCCAAGGCAAAGTTGTCATCGCTCATCTGCACTAGATTGCCACGGAACACGCCCTCCAGCATTAAAGCTGATTCATGTGTATCCTCGAGCTCCATCTTGTTCCACACACAGTTGAGCTGACGAGCAACGACTAAAAGTCTCTTCCTCCGACCGGAATGGTTATTTTTGTCATCCTCACACTGCAAAGTTTGCAACTTTTTAGTATCTAACTTACCGTGAGAAGAAGATTGGCCATTCTTCTTGTCCTGCTGCTTGTTCTTCAATTGCAGACAATCAGCCTTGTAGTGTCCAAGTTCGCCACAATGATGACAACCCTGTCTATAATTCTTCACAAAGAACTTCTGTTTCTTGGACCCTTTTGCATCTGAAGTAGTCACCACCGATTTCAACTTGTGATGCTTGTTCCCATCCTTGTGTCCATGGTGATCATCACGATGATTCTCGACAAAAGAACTCCGCGAACGCTTGCAAGATTTGTGCTTATCATTGTTAAGTCGACGAGCTACATCAAAGAGCACCTCCAAACTCTTTGTAGGCTGAGAATGACGCAAGTGTTGCCGCATGCTCTCACTATGTAGGCCATCAATGAAGTAGGACTTGTTCTAATTCGGATCCTTCATTGGAACACGACTAATCAAATGAGTAAGCTTCTCAATATAGTCCCCGAGTGTCATTTTCCCTTGCTGGAAATGTCGAAGTTCTGTACAAGCATTCTCCACGTCATAATGAGGGGCAAAACGTAAACGGAAAGCAGCCTCAAACTCATCTATGGTAGACACTGGTGGTTTCTTATCCGCAACATGGGACTCCTCAAGCCAATTCCACCATCGAAGACCTGCATCATGCAAAACCATCGGAATAGCCACTAAAGCCTCTGCATCTGGAGTTCCTCTAGCAGCCAAGAACTTCTTCACATTGACTAGCCAAGTGAGACATTCATCC